CTGTTTAGCGAAGCCTTTTTTTCGGGGTGAGCTATAGTCGATTACGTCTGCGAACGTCTTAAATCCATGTCTACATTATGCGATTTGAGAACGTTTTATTTGCGCGCAACAACGATATCATTATATTCCGTGTCAATTTTTCTAAACGGTCAGTTTTTTCGTGCATTTACAGGTAGACGATCAAATGAAACTGTTGCAGCACTCGTGGTCGGACATGCTGGTGTTGGACCACATCCACCAGCACATGCACAACAACTTGGCCAACGAGATAATGTTGCATAACGGACAAAAGTTCGACTTGCTCGCTCTCGGTCTGCTCGGCGTCACCACTATGGCCGACTGTTTTGCCCGAGTCGTGGACCGGTTGCAGGAACTCAAGTTTGATGTTGGCGATTACATTTGCCTAAAGTTCCTGTTGCTATTGAATCCTGGTAAGTCCAGAAACTCCGTTTGCAGAATTCGGACTGATCTAATAAGCTATACTCGTATATGTGTATCGGTTAATTTACAGTTGTTTTTGATTTATTTTTGCAGACGTCAAAGGGATTGGAAACAGTAAACACGTGCACGAAGGTCACGAACAAGTGTTGAAAGCCTTGTTGGATTATTGCATGACGGCCAACTCCCATGTACAGGTAAACGCCATTAATTTAAAAAATAATGTATACGTATATATTAAAAAAAAAAAATTCCCGCCCAATCTCCTGCAAATGATCCAATGTATAACACGTCGACTAATCTAAGCTTATTATTGTGGTAGGACAAATTTTCCAAACTGTTGTCCGTACTGTCCGACATACATCACATAGCCACCAGGGGCGAGGAGAGCCTGTACTTGAAGCACTGTAGTGGCGGCGCTCCCACGCAGACGTTACTCATGGAGATGCTGCACGCTAAGCGAAAATAACACCGACCTAAACAACACTCACTCCCCATGTTATATACTATGTATATATTTATATATACATATATATATATTATGTACATAGTATAAACTCTATAAACACAACACACCAACACAATTACCACAACCACAACACATGTCATCATCAATGCGGAGAAGGGACAAGCAAGCCTCGTACACGTTCATACGTAAGTGCAGAATATTATATTTAATTATTATTGTTGCTACGGGTATATAGGACGTGGCTAAAGTTCGTTGCTAGCCGTTCTGCCGTTTAGACAGTCTGAAAAACTTTAAAACGAAAAAATATGCGTTTTTTTTAGCCATCGAGTATCTCGAATGTGAGTGATGAGAGCGCCATGGTGGGCGTTCGATATCGAATTATTTTCCGCGGCTTACCGAACTTCTTCAGCCACACTCTGCATATTCGTGTTATATTATAGAAGCGGTGCCTACCTGTCGTCTTCGCCGTCGCGGCGACAGTGGTTTCAGTGATGTTCGTAGGTAGTTCGAAAAATCGCTCGAATGCGCGCGACAAGTTTAACCCGTTTTCGAGTATACGAGTCTCGACTGGTTTGACGCGAGTGGCGATGGTTCTCGTATTATTATTTCGTTCTTTCGGAATACATAATAATAATAATATAATAGTAACTGATATAATTTTTTTTTCCCGTGCTAACCATCATCCCGTGTCAAGGGAGACGGGTCTCGATATTTATTTCGCATCGTTACATAGCCGTCTTTCAAATCGCCGCCGTACACGCGCGGCGTTAATTATTCAATGACTGTGTGTATATAATATGTTTGTCGTGTCCACACTAATTATCCCGATGATATTTTTCTACGGCAGTCGATAAAATTTCGAATTATGTCATCTCCCTCATAATTGCGTTATAATTTCCTCCAACCGTGTCCCTAATAGTAATAATAACACTTTAGAGTAGTAACACAGTGACAGGCAAAGCATACAGCTACCGGACCCCACCGCAGTTTAGTGGTGTCGCTCCTTACATTTGTGTATATATCATATTACCAATCAATTTTATGGCCGTGTTCTCGGACCGCGTTCGTCTACAACCCCCGCCCCCCTCAAATTCACCATTGCTTCTTAACTATCGTAGACTTTGGTTGTACGTGGTTTTATTACATTTGAAATTTTTGTATTTTCAGGGTTGGCCAAATATTACAAACACCATCATCAAAACGTATATTTGAGCAACAGCCACGTTACCATGACAATTTACAATAATACAATTTGAGTCATACAGAGTTACCAACTGATCTCGTCGACAGCGTCATTACACACGTACGCGATGTTGGTCAAAACTACTCTTACACACCATATTAATATTATATACTAATGTACACACACACACATTACACACAGGCCCCACACATACACACATTACACACACACACACACACACACACACAAACACACACATTATTATTTATTATTAATTATTTAACTTATATTTTTTGTTATTAAAAATAATAAATATCATTCAGACAACTAATGAATTTGAGCGCACGTGTGCAAAATAAACCAATAATTTTAATTATGTTTAACAAAAAAAATCATGTAGTGTATGAATATAATATTATGTTTATATAATATATATATATTAATAGTTATTATGTATCTATAAATTACATATATTTTTATTTCGAGCGATTTAGTTTTGTATATATTATAATGATTTTAATGCTTAGCTTAGGTATTTAATGTTTGGTTACCAAATCTCAAAAGGCCAGTAAAAGGAGATGTGCTCAAAGTTTAAAAATGTAATAATATTATATTATTTATAATATAATACATGCCGTTCAGTTCCTACATGCTGTTCCAATTTTAAATAAGATTTATCCGTTATCTTCTGGTTTTCTTCATTTTATTACTTGCAAACATTTTTTTGTTTACAAAAGAGATACATAAGTGAGAAAAGGTGAGCAGAGAAAGAATGATTATGATTAACGCTTGATATTATTTACAGTAAATATTGATTATTTACAGTGTTAATAATTTGCTTTATTGTTAATTTTATTTTTGTATTCAAAATTATAAAAAAAAAAAAACTTTAAATAATATAATTTTTATTAATTTATAACATCCTCCATACACATCATATTATTATATTACTTTATGATTTTAATGTAAAAAAAAAGCAAACACTTATATTTTCCCACAGTTAATATGTATTAATATAGTATATTGATATATCATTGAAATTAATAAACAAAATTGACACTACCATCGCCTCCCCAACATGAGTACAAAATATTTTTCTTAAACCAATTCGCTGTCATTTTTAATCCTGTTAGTTTTAGTTTTCATTTATATGTGTATATGTACATGTATGTATATTATATACATTTTTTTTCTGGGGGATTTGTGGCATAAAATTATTTAATTGGCATTGTTTTTGTTTTTGTTTTTTTTTGTTTTGGAATTCTTTAAAAAAAAAAAAAAACAACATTCCGTCTAAATTAAATTAAATTAAAAACTAAATACATAAAAAAAAAAAATGTTTTTCTCCCAGTAGAAGGTGATGGACAAGTTAGTGTTCGCATTATTATATATTATTTCCTTATAAGTGTAATATAATTATTATAATTTATAACATAGATTTATAGATGTTAGGTTAGAGATTTATTTATTTATGCGTGTATACATAGATTTAGTGCATCTATTATTTTATTAATATACCTTTGTGGTTCATAATGTTAGGTGTTAAAAAATATTTATTTTAAAACAAATATTATCGTAAAAAAAAAAAAAATGAATAAAAAGATGATTGTACGAAACTATAAGTTACCGTTAAATTTTTTTTTGTAAGTAATGTTACTATGTACTTGCTCATTGTTTTTCTTTTTCTTATCTTTTTTTTTTTCTGTCATTTATGCTTGTATTATTTGTTCAGTTAGTCACAGGCGCACACACGTGATCAGAATCCCAACTTTTGAGTGTATATTATTTTTATGAGAACAATTTACCATTCAATGTGTGTGTTGCCTTGTATGCCGTTAATATTTCCCAGACACTGTCTTCCTTTACATAAGCGCTGGGAGTTTATATGCGGTAAAGCCTCATTCAGTTTTTTTTTGTTAAATATTGAGTGAAGAGAGAGAGAGAGAGAGAGAAATATTATGAATTAAGGCCAAAATAACTAAACTGTTTTCAAACACACACATAGGTATATAAATAAACTTTTTTCTTAAAAACTTATAGTTAAAAGAATTAAAAAAAAAAATATTTAGTCATAATTATTAAAAAAAAAAAAGCGTCCAGGGTTTTCGTATGAATTCGTGATCAAACATTGTGATTGAATATTTTTAAAATAAAATATATTATAATATTATTAATAATATTGTATAAAATATATATCTATATGTATATACATATATATACATATACATATATTTTGAAAGTATATTTCTATTAATCTATTTTAAAAAGAAAATAATATGTTTTATTTTTTGAGATAATGAAATGTTTAAGTTTTTATTATGGTTTTAACACTGTTGGTTCTTATTTTGTTCTCCATACATTATTATTATTATTATTATTATTACTATTATATATTTGGCATCATTATTATTATTATTATTATTATTATTATTATTATTATTATTATTATATTTGCCCCTCCCAAACATTTATTTTTTTTTTCTAAAGTTTTTCGTGCTTTAGATGATAAGCTTTGTATTTTTATTTTTATTTCTTATCATCTTAATTGTTTAATTGAACATTTTATTATACATATATTAACACACATTATAAATATTATATGTATAACTTATAAGTTACGAGAATTGGAAAGATAATGTATAAATATAATTATATGTTCTCGTCGCTTCGGAATATATAATTGAAAACTTATTTTTAAGAAATATAAAAAAAAAAAATCCTGTTACCTCAATAAATTCGTTGCGTTTGTACCATATAATATATATTATATTATAAATAACATAATTTATCTATACTCATATGTATATATATATATATATATATATACATTTATATATATATATATATATACATATTTATAATTATTATTATTAAGCTAATAATTAATTATTATTACATATAAAAAAAAAAAAAAAACAATAATAAATAAATACCATGTTATTAAGTGTTTTGTGTTTGTATTATCTATTTTTGATGTAAATATAGATTTACGTTTAATTTTATTATTTATGCAATTTTTTTTTTCATTCAGAATTCTTACACATTAATCGATTAATAATTTGTCTCGTTTAAGACAGTTTTTTTTTTTAAAATCAAGTTAAAATAATTTACACGGATAAATGGTACAAATTGTGGTCAAGAATATTTCTAAAAAAAAAAAATCCTGTTACCAGTGTATTATTTTTTGATCTTAGTGTGTAATGTATTAATAATACTATATTATGAAATATAATGTTTATTGATTATATTTTGAATTTTATTTTATTTTTTGTTTTTGCATGCAACAACAGATCTATGCTTACAAAAAAACGATTCTGAATGGAGTTCAGTTGAACATATCTTAATAGAATCGGGACTTTATTGGTTTGTAACTAAAGAATAAATTATAATTGTTTGTGAATTCAAATTAGGAATTTGGTGAATCAAAAAATGACCTTAATGCACCGATCAAACAAAATTTACCACAAAAAACTACACGTGATTATTGCTGATAGGAATAATATTTCTGATTGAAAACTCATTAACATAGGTACTGAGAAAAGATAACAGAAAAAAACATTGTATTAAAACTAATACACGCTTCACTCAGAATCTAATAAGATTGTGTACCTATATTGTGGTGAACAGTGTCGATTGAACCAATATGTTATATTGGTTGATTATTTTTGTAACCGTTATTTTATTATTATTTATGTGTTTTTATCGTCGTTACACCATTCAGTGCGGACATCCTACCAACAATATGACAATAATAACAATAATTTTCTTATATTATATTCGCCAAGTATTTTATAAAAATATTGTTAACAGCTTCATAATAGTAATAATGATAATATTTTAGTCGTGCCTTTCACTTTAGCTCGTGGCCAGCGTCCGTGACACGCCCCAAGGTCGCCGTCATCATCGTCGTCGCCATTATTATCATTCGCGTACGATTCGCACCGTCATCGTCCTTAAAACGTCCGTGTCCTAGTTTCGCAGTTTCGCGGGACGACAGCGGTTGGGTATTTACTCATCGTCGTGCGATTGGTAGTACACTACACGCGATCTTCGGAAATCGTAATATCGTATGTGTTGTCCGTCTCGTGGACTTCGATGCGTTTTACTTTTATGTCACAGACCTATAATAAATACCTATATATTATTGTAGGTAAGTAGACTGCAGTTAAAAAAAATAATAATGAGAATTATCCTCCGAGGGCGAAAATATCGAGGAAATGATATAGATGTCTGCGTGTAAAATAATATCAGTTGTAAATGATCATTTCAGATTCAGTGGCACATTTTAGTGTTCAACTAGGGTGGAGGAGAAGGAGGGCAACATATTTAGTATACTCGTGAATATTATACCGAGATTATACTTGAGGGATCGGTTGTCTGGACCCTTCAAACCTTCGAATTTAAATATTATAAATAGAATAATGTTAACAAAATGCCAATAATGTAACAAGTAATACAAATTGTACAATATACAATTACTATTTACTAGATGCTTGAAAAATATACTGTTTATGGTTAGGTCGTTGTTTTAGGCGAGAGAAGTAAAACTATGTATAGGATAATTTAGTTTATTTCTGTATGATGCAAAGATTATGTATTACAAACGATCCTGAGCGGAGTTTCGTTGAACATTTTATTAATTTATAAATAAAAAATAAAATAACAATATTGTTTTAATTGAATTTTATCATACATTTGAACTAAATGTATATGTTTTTTTATCACTAAGCATAATTATGACAAACTTTGAAATTTGAATCAATTATTCAATCATGTTTCAGTAGCCAAAAAACTATCCTCATAAAACTATATTCTTAGTTTCAACAATTTCAAATAGATAACTTAAACAGTACCAGAATATGTTTGAAATTTCAAGTCACTATAGGAATACTTTCCAGTTTCCACTGAATTAAAACAATATGGATTTTAACTGAAATCATTGTTCTGTAAATATTCCCGTTTTTCTACATAATCGAAAAAAATAAAAAGTAAAATCTAAAAAGGACTCGTAATGGATAATAAAAAGGCCTCTAATGCATCAACTAGACAAAATTGTCAACAAAAAACCATCCCTGGTATTAATATTTGTAGCAAGATTTCTGGTTAAAAAGTTGTTTAAAATTAAATTATTATTAATTTTTTATTTATTAAGGAATTGTAAAACAATAACTCTTGGGGGAATTGTCTCTACTGGCTCCTCAAATACGTCACTATTTAAGTGATTTAAGTTTCTAGTGGCCGATATGCTTTATGAAACCGGACATATACAGGGGAAGACGAATTTCGTTATGCTGTAGGAATAATTTTACTATGCCAAATTGAAAAAGTATTTATTTTTAGGATCTACCTGTGTACATACATGGGCATCCATGGGTAGGGGAAGAAAATAATGGAAATAATATTATAAACTACATAAACAATGTTGATGAATTTCGCTTCCACCTGAAATATCTTACCCATGGGCGCCAATGGGTATGTATAATGTAAATGCATTTACATACACTACATGTAAAATGACATCAGGACTTAATTATTTAACCAGGTTATTACTTAACCTTATAGAATGTAAACTGTATGCGATTATTATACAACCATTGGAAGTTATAACTAAAATTCAACATTTATTGTTGTATATAGGTAAATAAAAAATATTTTTTAAATATCAAATACCGTCTAAAGCCTAATAAGGGTAAATTATAAATTTCTAATTGCAAACTTAAACGGTTCGGCGAAATATACACGACCTCGTAATATTATTTTGGTTACATAAATTGTATGTGGGTACATGTTTTAAAATTAATTTACAAAATATCAAGCGGCCAATATTATTTGGTATAGATTTTCACTATGTTACACCATATCATTTATACGAATTATTCATACGTCGTCGTCGTCGCCGCCGCGATATATCGAAATGTATATTATTGTTTATTGCGACAATACAAATATTAATACGCATAGTTAATATTTTAAAACGTTACATCATTTTATTATGTAATTATAGTATCTACATTTTTAAATAAACAATTTTTAATTTTTTTTTTTTTTTTTTTTGTTTATTATTAGTTATTATTGTCTTCCGTAAGTCATTTGTCCCATACATTCAGGAAATTATTACGGTCTTATAAAAATTGATGGCCAGTGAGTTAAAAACAAAATTACCCACCATATTTTTGCTTGCGACATTTCGTATCCACTATTCATACTAGGTAAAATTATACTGTGCAAGTAGACAAAAAAAATTTCGGGAAAAAAATTGCATATATCAGGTTGTTTTAATCATTAAGTACCGTGTTTCTGTGTCGGTATAGATATATAAATAAAAGTAAGTATAATATCATGCGTGCAGTACAATAATATTAATTTATACTGAGTATTCGTTGACGCGATGGAAAGTAATGAAATATTTAATAATAGCTGTAGTTGGTATAGGTATCCGAATGGGGGAAAAAAATACATTTCAATGATTTCGGTATAATATAAGACCTTGTAATAAGAATATGTTAACATTTTACAGCAGGTAGGTAACAAACAAAAAAACACATAATTTTATCATTACTACATATTATGTAGTAGGTATCTAAATCTAATGAAGTAAACGACTTAATCATTTTTGCCAGCGATAAAAATAATAATTTAATATTTAAACGCTAGAGTACTTTCCATTAATTTGTTATATTTTTCGTTTTGTTTTTATTTATTTATTTTATTAAGTACCTACGTATAAATACAACACAGGTGCGTTTTTTTAAATGTTTTTCATAGGTCAGCTAGAAAATCTACCGTGGCTTATAGCATTTTGGTTTTTTATGTCCCAGTCGTCAGAGGCGCAGTTAGACATTTTTTTTTCATGTATCCAAATTTCAAATTTTTTATAATAATAATAGGTAATAGTAATATTCATAAAATGCGCTTGATTTTAATTAAACAGCGTATATGAATTGTACAATTTAATATTAAAATAACAGGGTTGGCTGATATTAGAAATGCTAGGTAACTATATTTAGTTTTTAGAGGTTAAACAGATACTGTCACTGGACACACATTCGCGTGTCCTTGGCTATAGAAAATAACTGGAGCAATGTTTTTTAACGTACTCGTGAGTGATACAATGTATAAACAAAACATGATTATGGATTCTAAACCCTCTAAATTATATTTAACTTCAATCTGATATTTCACGCATTTACTTAAATGGTATAATAATATATTATTGTTGCCTTGATGTTTGCACTGTTTAAATCATTATATAATAAATAATAATGTACACAGTTGCAGCTTTTTAAAGTCTATGTATTGTAATTATATCGTACATTCGTACATGTGAGCTGAAAAAATTCAGAGATTTTAATGATGTTAGTATTCCAATACGTTTATAAAATGTTCGTGGTCTTTTGATGCGGTAGTTTTGAACTTACGTAAAAAAAATTAATATTTATATACTTACAAGCATAAACTGTTTTAGATTCTGATCGTAGTGTAATTTACTAGTGTATATAATATTGTTATTTAGAAATTAGATATAATATGGATACAAAGTTCAAGAATACATTTCAAGGCAATCGGTAATATATAGTACCTACATAACATACGATACCCTACTTATCCCTACTTGTATTTATGAAATATTGTATACCTTAAATAATATTGGAATTATTAACCATGTTATCTCATAGTTATAGGGGAGTGATGGTCAATGCTGGTCATCTAAGGGAAAATTCTAATATCTTACTAATTATAATTCTGAAATTTAAGTCAATTTTCAATCGATTTAAAAACTTGTAAACTACAACATATTTGAGTATAAGATATTATAAAGTACATTTTGTGCATTTTTTAAAATAAAAAAAAAAAAAAAATGAACAATATTTTCTTAAATCCTTAACTGTGGAATAATACTGGTCATGTTTCAAATACATATAGAAAATATACAGAAAACATTTTTTTTTTTTTTAAATCATCTTATGTTCTCAAATCATTATTGATCAATAATCAATCATTTATACCGAATGATTTATTTACACTCATTATCTCGGAAAGTATTAACATTTTTCAGAGTTTATTTTCTAGAATATTTAAGGAACAAGCAGCTCTAACATTTTATATTTATGTTATTTTTTGTCCCCAAAAATAAGGGTGACAAAAATAATATAAATATAAAATGATGGAGCTGCTTGTCTCTTAAATTTTCTAAAAAAACAAATTCCGGAAAGAGTTAATACTTTGCGAAATAATGAGTGTACCCACTTAAATAGATCACCTGATATATTATATAATATGATATATTAATTTGTTGTCGTTATGGAAATACGTGACAGCAGAAAAAAACGTCACATATTTTTGTCAACATTTTCGTACAAAAATACCATTTATATTTACGACATTTTCGGTGGATTTTTCAAAAAATTTAATTTATGTAAACTTTGTCCTGATAATTATGAGCACAACAACAACAAAAAATTACCTAAATCAGTCGAGCTGCTCGAAAGTGATAAACTTGTATGCGTGTTGTGATTGATTTTTAACTTTAAGTTAATTATTTTTTTTTATAGAATACCTTAACTAAAATTAGTTAAAACAAAATTGGTTAACTTGGTAAATACCTTTATTGTATTTTTTGTCTAAGTTTACTCAACTGCAGTTGTTTGTTTTCGTGAGTTTAATAGGTACATACAAGTCATATGGGTACTTGTACAATTTGGTATGAAGAAAAAAAATATTAATCGATATTCTCATTCTTATATACCGTTTATTTTGTTCAAATAGCAGTAAAGATCATTTTCGTAACTACAATGTTTGTAATTTTCAAATGGAAGTTATTCATTATTATTTTCATAGTTATTATGAAACCATCATTTCAAAGCGAAGGTGTATTCTACGAATATATAATATTATTAATACTTATTTTATTTTTTAAATTTAGTCTAGTGTTGTATTTGGGTTCTAGTCTGTGCAATTTTCGGGATGCCTTGTAGTTTTTAAATAATATCTATAAGGGTGAAATCAAAAGAAAACAAACGTCGGAATGATCATCATCAGTATTTATAAAAATCAATGTTGTTTTTGTTGTAAAAAATAAAAAACAATTTTGTAGTAAAAATAATTTTTTAAGAAATACAGATGTCAACCATTTAAATTTTTTTCTTTTTTCACGAGTGTACCTTTTAATTTTATTTGTACAAATAGACTATAGAGTACAAGTACGTCTTGGTTAAGTTGGTTTGGACGCAATGTGCTGTTTACAATTCAGATGCACAAAAGCATAAAAATTATATATTAAACACTATTAGATTCATTGTTAAGGTTAAACAGCGGTTCAGGGGTATCTTGCACCACCAACACCAAGACTGCCGGTTCTGGAATCGCATGTACACCGTAAATAATTTTTAAAAATAAAAAATAGTAAATAGTAAAGAAAAACAAATATGAAATTTTTCAAACTGCTAATTCATTAATTTCGGAAAAATTATTCTTATTGTCCGTCATTGCTATGTTAGAGGAATATTATTTTCATGAAATACCAGCTGAAAGTTCTGAACCGGCCGAATCCTAGATCCCAGAATCACATTATGAATATCGTAAGTAATTTTATAAAATTACAATGTTTATAAAAACTAATTAAAACAAAACTATAACCGTCTTCTAACAACCGATTGTTTTAGCAATATTGGTACACAATTTTAATTCTTACGCTAAAACCGTCAAAATAAATTGTATTTCTTTATTTTTTGTTTTACTGATTTTTCCGTGCTTTTAGGTTCCTAAACATAAGTTTAGATCATTTTATATCCCCGTTGTGTCTACCAAAGTTACCAGTACATAGTTACGCTAATGAATGATTAGGATGATTGGGTGATACCTATTTATTATATTATTTGTCACACTATCATAAAATATTATTATTATTGTTATGTATTGCTATCAATTATCATTATTAATTTTTATATGAGCATTGCATATAAATTTATACTGGCCAGTATTAAAATTTGTTTATGTATATAAGATATAATTAATTCAAGAATTTAAAAAATGTCTTGTCAACTATTTACAAGAGAAGATATTAAATTAATTTAGGTTTTTATAAATAAGCATACCTGCATATTTTAGACTAGGTTAACAAATTCTATCGCAGAGTAAGCTATTCTAACTAATTTAAGATTATGAATATTTATTTTTTATGATAATATGGTAATCTTTGATAAGACGACTATTGCACAATCTTCTTAACTCGTCAAAAACTAAGTTTTGAAAAACTATCAATTTAATGTCATGGTATGTCTAATAAAATGACCCATGGTATTTAACTTTCAGTGTTTGGTATAAAGAGATTACTAGGAACTTTAAACTCTAATAACAGTTGAGTTATTTTTATACTTTCTAGAACTAGCAGATTTTCACTCAGATATTAATAACAAGCGTATGCTGGAGTCTTCAATTAATAGTGAGTATACATTTTCGGCCCGTATTTTTAATACCTTTTACTAAGATGTGTGCTTTTTAATTTTTTTGTTTGTGCACAAGTTTTCTATATTAAATAACATTTAAAATGTATTTCAAAACATGTTTAACCAAACTTTACTCAGAACCATACTACACCAGTAATGATTTATTGTTGCGTACAATAATTATAAATTAAATAACGCTATGTTTTACGTTTTTCTAATTTTTCACCTAAATCAGTGGTACCTAGTATCAGCTCTTTTTTTAGTATTTAAATTAAAAAAGCAGCTCAAAATATGTACTTAAAAAAAAATTCACCTTAAAATGTAAATTTATAATACAAAACCGATTTTAAATAAATAATAATATTTATATATCTGTTTTACACTTTAATATTAAAATTTAATTCAATTGTGTTTAATGCGTTTCCATTAATAAATATTACGAAAATAGTAACCGTTTGTTTGTACTCATTATTCTGCAGGTGATTCTTTAAAATCGATATTGAACACGTTTTTGATGCCAATACGCCGGTTGATAGAAAGCAGAAAACTAGAAGTTATTATGACTTGAACTTTTCGGATCTCTTAAAGACATGGAAAAATCAAAGCAAAATACTAAAAATCAATTTTAAGTCGACTTGTGCATTTCGGTCGTCTGTATCAACTATGATAAATTTGTTTAAAGTACGGTATTTTTTTAAACGGTGCCTATAGTAATTTTAAGTGGGTAACAATATAAATTCAATCACATTTTGATTAAAGTAATGGGTGTTAAATACAGTTTTTTTTTTTAAATTTAAAGGATCCTCTTTGTCTACTTTTACAATATTTTGTCGTTTTATTATACCCTCCCGGTTCTATAAAACCCTACGACAAAAATATCTGCTTAGACGGATCTACGGGGTGTGTTGAGTGTGCCGTGGCACATACGCTGCGTTTTGGCTTACACTACTTAAATTGAATATTTCTCATGCACTATACGCGACGTGTTTTTTGAAATGTGAAACAAACGCGTGAGACGCGTTTCATACTTGCTTAACTACTTTGGCTTAAACCGAAATCAATTCAATGAAGTTCTTAATTAAATTCGAGAAATTCATCTGGGTATAATGCTCAAAAACCTATTAATCCAATCATTTCCCATATTTCATTTTTCAATTGAGTCTTTATATTGAATCTTTATATAACTGATATGACAAGTGTCATATAAGATATTTTAATTATTTAATCAGAGTCTCTTCCATCGCAAAGTCAAAAATATCGAATTAAAATTGAAAACAAATTATAATGATAAATAAATTACACAATTATTATTAAAATACATTTATAACAAGTGTCGAGTTGTAATAACTATTGTTGAAAGTAATTAAAAAAAAAAACCTATATTTGTGATAACAAGTTGGTTAAACAATAACTTATTGCGAATTAAAATTTGACCTACTAAAATATCAGCTAGTGATTTACAATTTATTGTCTATATTTTTTGAAAAAAAAAAAAAAATGCCTAAATATTCATTTCCGATATTTCTCTGCATATGATTCGTCCATCCAGATATTATGTAGGTCATGACAATAATACCTTCAATATAGTTGCTGTTTTGGTTTACCTAACTGCAAATGTTGGTTTACGTGGTGCTTACGAGTCAAACTGGTACTTGTCAATTTTGGTATAAAGAGAACCTATATTCTCATTGTTCTTATACATTTATATTTTTCTAGTGGTAAGGTGTAACATCAATTTTCGCAATGTTCGTAACTTCCAAATGGAAGTTATTAATTATTATTTTCATAGTCATTATAAAACAATCACTTCAACACGAAGGTAAGCGTATTCNTTGTTTTCCTAATATTAGAGTGAAATCGAAAGAAAAAAACTGTTATAATGAAATAATGGAAATATTGACTCAGCAACGGTATTGGTAAAAATACATTTTTTGTTTTATTACCATTTGTTAGAAAGTAATCGTCCAGGGATCAGACATTTTCAAGAATACATTTTAGTGTTATATTTAAGCAAACGAGGAACATAAACACTATTTTCAAAATACACTTTGACTCTCTTATTATTTGAATTATGCAATTCTTTAATATAGTATGTTCGTAAGATCCTCCATGGTTAAAAAAACGACCAATCTTAACTAGTAATAGGAGTTGAACTATCACAGGCCTCATGCCTCTTACTAACCCTTTTCAATATATTCACCAACAATATGCCGGTTCAAGTCAACTTTATGGTGTCTGTGTAAATTAACTGAAACCCGAATTATACACTGTGTTACCCTCCAAAAGGTGAATATAATGTATAATAAATTTAACGTAAAACCACAACCAAATTTAGGTCTAGGCTATTTAGACTAAGGCCTAGTATAGCCTAGGGATGTTACGTTTTTATGGAACGCCGTGGCTGGCAGAAATTTTGATTTATTTCAGATGTTATTCCTAAGAATTTAAACCCATCTACTAGAAAAACAAAAATTCTATTTAGTTGTTAGAAATATTGTTGAACATAAATACTGATCATAAATTATTTTTATTTTTGTAAATAAGTTATTCGCTGTTATACAATTATAAAAATAGCAAGGGCTGCCGAATAGCCAATATCATTTAAACATTGGATAAGTAAATGGACGATAACTTTACGATATAACATAAATGGTAATATTATTACATTTATAATATTCTCAACATGCTCCCTGTAGGAAAGGATCAAAATAATCCCACAGTATCTCTACTTGTTGTAAGGGACGACAAATGTGGTTGCGTCAGGTCGACAGCCGATGTAAAATGCTGTCAAAAACAATGTGGAGTTTTAAATATGGATTTGACAGATTGCCCTATACTCCTATCTCGATGTGCACGGGTACAACAGGTGAGAGGAGGTATCATAGTACATGGTGTTTTTCAGATGATATACCTTTGATAGGAGAAAATCTGGAATAAGTTCACAGTAGACTTGATGAATAAAGAGTAGAACTTAAAGGAAAGGGTCTAAAAATAAGTAAAAGTAAAACAAAGTATACGTTTTGAGGAACAGGACAAGACAGCTAAAGATAATAAGCAGTTATAGGTGATGTTAAGAGTTTTAAGTAATTAAAAATTATTCGTATAAAAGAACGGTGGGTTTTATATGCATGTGAAACACATAATTATGTGTGGTTGGATAAAGTGGAGAGGAGCTATTTGTTTAATTTGAGTAAAGTAGAATAATTTTTTAAGATGACTTTAAAATAATTTTAAATTAATCCATTATACATTTTTATGTAGACATATAAAACTTGGTAAATTATAATTCGGGAGGGGGTTATTTTCTAAGAAGTAGAGGCTTGTTTTTATTAAACTAGGGACACCTTTTAGGTAAATCCGGCCCTACGTAAGACAATAATTTTATCATTTTTACCCACAGAACCAGGTATCTGCCAAGTAAGATATATTTTAATCCTGTCAATCCTGTCAATTTTGAACATTTTTCAATTCATTAATTATTAAATACAAATTATTAAAAATGTTTGGGTTTTTTTTACATCAACGAGGGAGATCATTAGTTTCTTAATGACAAGATATTTTTTTCCATATAATATGTCCTTGAAACTAGTATTCATTTTTTCAAGAATATTAAAAAAAAATATCATATTATAGTAAAAAATTAATAAATTGTTCGAGTTTAGTTTCGTAAAAAAAGTTTCTACGGATCTTCATTTATAATCATATTTTGTATTCATGCATATATTAGTTTTTACATTCAATGATGTTTTTTATAAATCTAATAAAAGAGTTTTATTTCTAAAGTTATCTCATTTTCCTAAAAATTGTAGACTTATTAGTATCGTAAATAACTTGCTATTATTTTATAAATTTATAATGAATAGGATATCAATAGATTTACCTTTTACATTTTAAAAAACCAAAATCTTACTTGTTTTGTTATATAATATATTTGAATATAATTTTTTTAAAACATCAGGTAAAGCTTCTGAATCACAACTACCAATAGAACCCAATGTCCAAGCACATTTCGAAAAACGTAAGCAATTTTATTTATTAATATTTTTTGTAAAATCAATTAAAAAGAGTTAAAACAAAAAAAAAAATGTTGAAAAATAATTAAATCTTCAATTTATGTTTGTTAGAAATCCAAAAACTTACAATACCAAAATAATAATTGATTCTATAATTAATTTATAAACCAATAAGAGACAGCAATATAATCTTATATTTCCATTTTGTATATTTTTTTTATGATTCCAGGGGAAGTGCATTCGATTTCAGATCTAAATCACGATGCAAAAGGTGACCATTTATCTACGAGTGAGTTTGCATTTTTAGTGTGCATTATGAATACACCTAATATAATAAAACGTCGACAACGATAATATTTTATACGCAAGACAATAATATGCTTAAAAAATGTATTTGGTACAAATTCACAATCCTATTTATCAGTTATTACTTATTATTTTAATGGAACTATTCAAGGTGATAAATAAAACGTAAAAAACTTAAAACTCATAACCAATATTAATGTTACCCAAAGAACCCATGGTACTTATTCAGACACATTCGTTTCTCGCTAAAACCAATAGTTTTGAATATTTATAAACGTATAGATTTTAAAATGTAATTTTTAAAGGATTAAAGAGATAAAATATAATCATAATACATATATACATTTTCCTAAAATGAAAATTAAGCTAGACTTAGTCTGCGTAAGCATTGATTTTGCATGTTGCTTTGCAGTTAGATTGAGACAGTAAATGCGGATGTGGCGTCTGTGTAAAAAGAGTTTTATTCTGTTTATCGAAAATTTAAGCATTCTGTGTATACTAAATGAGTGTACAGCAAATAATGCTGGAGAAAACAAATTTAAATTTCTAGGTTGGACAAGTGACTTGTCTTGCCCTCTCCTTCCTGGGGACGTCCATGACAATTTTAATATATATTTTGTAAAACATCAGCTGAAAATACTGGACCAGCTGAATCCAAGATTTTGGAAACCCATGAAAGTAGTAAATAATTATTCAAAATTATGATCATTAATAGAATCAAATAAAATACAAAAGCAAAAGAGGATAACTACCCCAGAACGACCATCTGGTTCTGCAATATTTGTAAATCATTTTAATTTTGGGTACCAAAATTATGATTTAAATTTTTTATGGTAATCATGAGTTTATACACTTAACTAAGATGAGCGAGCACTGTACAATATTCTTACTTAGTCAAAAACAAATTTATACAAATCATTAATTTGATATCACGTTGTATGTCTAACAAAACGTTTGACATATGGAATTTCACTTTAATGTTTTAGACATTCTATATTTAGTATTATAAGACTAAAGTTTTTCTGCTTTCCAGAGGCAGTAATTTCGATAACAGACTTTGATGTCAAGCTTATACTGGATTATATCATGACAAGTGAGTATGTCTTTTTGGTGTGTAAAATAGTGTTATGTAAACAAATATTTTATTAAAACATTAAACTATTTAGATATTGTCTTAATTTTTGAGTGCATTAAAATATAGAAATTATAAAAAGTAAAGAGATATTTTTTTTTTTTTTTTGGCATAACCCTTAAATTATTTGTCCCGTATTTTTTTTTTTTTTGTTCTTTTTTTTTATATGGTCACCCTAATTTAGACTATTAAGCATTATTAGTATAATATTATTAAGCGACTACCTAACCTAAAATATTAAATGAAACACTGCAATGACGAAAATAGTTATTTACATCATAATAAAAATAAAACAACAATACTAGTACATAATAGGTACAAGAATGGTACTCTAAATAGTCTAAACTATAGTCTATCGTAAAAAAAAAAAAAAAATAAATACAATATATTAGTTTAAAATAGGCATAAAATAAAACATTAATCAACAAAATGTAAGGGAATTATTAAGCAAAAAAAAAAAAAAAATGTTTTTATACACCTGTATAAAATAATAAATTCTACAAAGCTGTATACCATATATAAAACAATTATTTATATGTATGTTAGACATGTTCACATCACTACAGTTATACTTATATAAAACTCAGTTTAAATAAATAAATAATATTAGCTGTCCCTAGCGTTACTAATGCTAAACAAATATGTAACAATAACGTTTTCCTCTGGAATCCCTGTTTTAATACCCCGTCACTTTCATTGTAGTTAACCGTTTTCGTCATTAAGTTTTTAAGAAAGTATTTTCTCTAATTTTTTTTCAAACTTATATGAATTAGTTATATTATTATATGGTTGCTAGTCATTTAAAAATACCTATACATTTTTAACGGCCAAAACTACTGCAGGTTTAGTCTTCTACTTCTACTGCTCAAATTAAGGATTTCAATGATTTTAAGTCTTCTCGATATACACTATCCTTTAAAAAAAACTGCCTGACGATTAGGATGAGTAGTTTTTGAGATTATCCCGGACATATAAACGGCAATTTGTTTTATAATCTGAACGGAGCGAGGAATGTTTTATATTGATTGGTTTTACATTGATGTTTTTTTTTTTCTGTTGAAAACTTTTCTACCAGTAATTTTGCTCCAATTTACATTAACAACACTTTTTCTGAAAAGGAAATCTGACTAGAGTGGTACTTACGGAAATTGTTTTTTTTTTATTTTCCCAGCTGTTTTAATAATAAATGGGAAAAATCATAGGAAAAACCGGAAAATAGATACAATATTAAACGAATATTATTAAAGAAATAAATATAATTGAAATTTTGACGGAAAACAAATATTTATCTTTTCTAGACATGTTAAAATTTTCAAAACATTGTAACCATGTTTGAGCTATTTATAGACATTTTAATTTTAAGAGTTGTTTACGTAATTTATATTCTGTAAGTTCTTCATGGGTGAAATTGTTAGACTAAATAGAAATGATTAAAAATACAATAGGAGGTTTACTATAAGTCGTACTTAGTGGTTAAAAAAAAAAAAATTGAATACTATGTAGTTTTTTTTTTTTAAATAATTTTAATATCAAATTTTGACGAAAGTCGTAAATATTACAGCCTGTCAAAACATGTATTACCAAACTCAGCTCAGAGTAGTTTTTGGTTACCAACAATTAATTGTTGCATACAGATAAGTTCCCATTTCTAGATTTTACCTTCTCAACTTTTCACCTACAACAGTGGTACACCTATTGTGTGAAGTATATCCGTATTTTTAATAAATAGTCATATAGATTTGTTAAAAATTTATTATTAAATATAATTTAAAGTTGTCAATAATAATTACAACAAAAACAGTAATTATTTGTTTATACTTATTGTTCCGCAGGTCATGATGCTATGATTCAAGCGGATATAGAAAAAGGCAATCATGTCAATGAACAGGTTAATGATGTGCTAAAAACAGGTAATTCGTCTACAATAAATTATGAGAATACGACCTTTCAAGACCTCATAAACAAATGGAAAAAGACAAACAAAAAACTTAAACTACATTTTAAATCAACTGATGCATTTATGTCAGCTATACCAACCATGAAATCGATTTTTGAAGTACGTATTTTTTAAAAAGATCCATAAATAAGTTAATTATAATTTAATTTTAATTCAACCAAAAACATTTATATATAAGTATAACAAATAGTTAATGAAATAAAACTAAACATATTTATTTTTATTTTATTTAATTTTTTTATTTTGATAATTAAACATCTTGATGCATTTGGTTACATGAGGTACGAAAGCATATTTAAGATTAAACATTATTATATATGATAATGAGGTCTAGGACTAAGTATAGTTAAGAGGGTGTTAGGGGCATCAAATTTATCATTTACGAGTTTGACATTAACACGCTAGAAGCATGTGAGGGAATATTGAAGATAGAGACACTATCACTCAAACATAATCGTGACTCGTGAAATGGGTACTCTATTATAATTAATAGGCTGTGAAAGAAAAAAAATGATTTTGAACTTTTTTAATATACAGCTGTAAGCCAAGCAAGGATGCCAAATCGTTACACCATACTTTAGGATTAACTTTACTGAGCTCATGTAGAGTGCACTAAGGTAGGTAGAAAAGGTAAAAAGAGAAGTATTACGCTTTATGAACTAGAGGATCTTAAGAGTAATATTAATATAATACTCAAAAGACAGAGCGGAAGAAAAATAAAAATCAAGGTCTTTAATAATATCAACATGCAAAAAAGTGGAACTAGATGAGCAGATCTGCCGAAAGAACTTTGAAAGTTTACCCGAAGTTTATTAATTACAGCAACTGCGTGCAGGAGAAGTCGTTTCATTAGTATCACTTGATGATCAATACTATAAACAATTAAACTTATTATGTAAATTAATTTTGTTTCTCCATTTAGACATTTGACAAAGAGTTTCAACCCTGGCTATGTGGTGACATCTTAGTTGGTCCCGGTCCTGGCGATAGTCCCAGTATAGACGCACACACGTTTATCAAAAATGCGAAAGAAAAGTTTCCCGATTCGATGTTATCGTTAGGCTGGACCACTAAGAAGCGCACCAGTAATGACGAAAACAACGAAACAAACGGTTAGTGTCACTATTGGATCACTATAATGCGTTCGGCACGTCTGATACCCTGCACTAACTTCATTTTTGGATTTCGGGTTTTCCAATACGTCTATCATTTAGTTCGCCATTTATTTGAATTTATTTCAGTTTCTTACGCCATTTTTAACCAGTACTTATAAAGTTATAACCTAGGTAACTCTCTTATCATTAGCATAAATGAAAATTGCTTGTTGGTATAAGTTAGTTAAAAATTATAAATAATAAATAAGGTCTGATGAAATGATCTACCGATAACACTAAATTAAAAATAATCTATGACATTATTTGTAATACTCAATACTGGGTCCAGACACGCAGACATAATTAAGACAAAACAAAAACAAAAATGTTGGTACTGCTGATAGGTATGCCACTGTTTTAGTAGGATAGTTGGGAAGGTAGGATTCATAGTTATTTAATTTATATTGGTACGCAACTATAAATCATTGCTAACGATAAGCGATTCTCAATAGAGCTCAGTTTAGTAATTCATAAAACAAATTGTGAAAAAACATGTTGTAGTATTAATTTATTTATTATATCAGGTATAACTTGTATGAATTGTAACAGGTACTACTGTTTTATTATAACGGTACGCCTAAATTACTCCTTTTATAATACTGTTTATTAAACTACTTTTTTAGGTACACTTAATTTTTACGTTTTCACCTGGTACATTTCATAAAAAGATTAATAGCATCACCGTAAATTAATGTACTCGTCTGAACGCAACTTTAGTTGATTTAATCGAATGTAGAAAAGTCGTTCGGTTTCAATTTTCGCAAACATATCGACAATTTATTAATGGTGCCATTATTGTAGACATTTTAAAATTCTAGTTATTAATGTTCGCACTAATTCATGGTATTGAATTTTTTATTAGTTTCCTCATCTGTTTCATTTCTTAATTTGATAAATTTATAATATTTGAAGTTTAATATTGTGTTTTTCAAAATAGGTATTGTGAATAAAAAAAAAATATCTACACATGGGCCTATAACGTAATTTTCAGAGGAGGGACAGAACTCAAATAAAAATAATGTAAATAATGGTATTAAATTAATTTGTTAACATTTATAATGGAATCTAAAATAAATGGTAATAATACTTTCATAAAAGAACTTCACTAAACTATTATTACGAGTATTATTGCCACCTACTTATTATTACATTTAGAATATCTTGAATTACATATTATATTGATTACATTTTTAAGATTCAGTGCAAATTGCTTATTTTAATGGTTCTACAATACCTATACCTCCCCTCAAAGTCCGAAAATGAGTGGGAAAGTTCAGCGTTACGTGTAACGTATGTATATCAATTGAAGGTTTTTATATTTTTCAGACAAATATACAATGGAAAATGTGAAAGAAATGATACAAGTATTAGACGACGTAAAATATACGAAAGTGGTGAATTACGTAGTTCGTGCGTCATATGCGGCTAATTCATTAGACGAACTATTATATCTATTAGATCACGACTATTCGAGTACGGATAACTCGACTCTGACCATTGTGTACAATGATCAAAACGACATTATCAACTATCCGAAATTGGTAGAGGTGATAAGGGACATCGGGTTAACCCGAGTTTATTTGGACGTACCAAACAATGTATCTGTAAAGCTTTTTGACCATTTTTACAGAACTAATAATGAGAAGAAGATCAGTTCCGTCATTATTGGAGCAGAACGAGCAGGTTCAGATTGGGATTTTGGAAAGACCGATTGGAAAATGTTTAATATGTAGTGGCCGATTTTTTGTTAAAATGTATTAATTTATTTTAATTTTAAGTATCCACATACTTCCTTCCAGACATTATTATTTTTTCAATATTACAGCGATATAATCAATTAAAATAAGTACACTTAGTACAATACTTATTGGTAAACATAGTTAAATAAGAATGTAAATATAATGTGATGTACGTCACATTTAAAATTTTGAATACCATTCATTTGTAAAATAAATATGTAACATCAAAAATTGAAATAACCAATATATTTTTAAGACATTACAATAAATACTTTAAAATAGAGAACGATAGTGAGACAGTTACAATTTGGAAATTCTGAATTTTGTTTTCTAAAACTGTAAAAGATTACTTTTGTGATTTAGTTCGTAGTTTTTAATAATATATGTACCTATATAAGAAGAATGATAACTATTTATAATATATTTTATATTAATATAATATATATAATAATATGGTTGTATTAAAACATAATTTGTTTTTATAATGTTCGGGGTATGGGAACAAAGCCCCCACGGGTCTGTGCATCCTGAGTAATATTTGTAATCACTGACATGTTCAACACTACTGCTGAATCGTAATTTTAGTGGATGTATAGCTGTTCTTTAACCCTTGACACTTGAAAAATAGAAATTAAACTACATTATATAAACTATATCAAAAATATATTTTTAAAACATATGAAAAGTGAACTTTTTTTAGCCACCTTCTTTATCTCTTTTCTAGATCCATCCCTGTGTGTCTATAATATGTTTGGCTATACTTAGCTAAGAATACCGAGTTTATAAAATATAAATATAAATACACGATAAACTTCTATAATACTATAGGGTGCTGTCAGATTTTTAAAAAAACTATCAAGTGCCTTGAGTCTTTTTTGACTGAGGTTGGGGATCTCTGTATTTGGGGGTATATTATACCCTCACAGGCTTCACACCATATTTCTAAGATTAATCTGATTAATCTAAAATAATCTTAGCCTCGTTCAAAGGTACTGTTATCCTAGGCTAATTATTATACCTCACAGTACTATAAACACATAAAACAACTATGTCTATACAACATAAGTGTAGTACTGAAAGCCTAAATCAAGGGTAATTTATGGTAAACAATGTTCGTCTAGTTGGTGTATTAAAAGACCAATTTTATTTTATTTGTTACATTCTTAATAATAAAGAAAATAATGTGAGTAAAACATAGGAAAAGTGGGTAAATTTATGCATTTCTAACGATTAAAGTCATTAGCTTATATAAATAATAATTTCATAATATCATGATTCAAGATTTTTTTTTTTTACATTTTATAAAATCTGTATCTAAGTGTCGAGCTGTAATAACTATTGTTGAAAGTAATTAAAAAAAAAAAACCTATATTTGTGATAACAAGTTGGTTAAACAATAACTTATTGCTCATTCAAATAGTTTGGCCTACTAAAATGTCTATTGAGTAACAATTTATTGTCTATAATTTTTTGAAAATAAAAAATTTGCCACGTATTCATTTCCGATATTTCTTCGCATGTTTTTCGTACATACAGATATTATGTAGGTCATATCAATAATATCTTCAATATATTTGCTATTTTAGTTTACCTAACTGTAGGTGTTAGGTTTTACGTTGTACGTAGATGCTTGTAAGTCATACGGGTACTTTTAAATTTCGACGGAAGTGGAATCTTTATTCTTATTGTTTTTATACAATATACATGTATATTTTTTCTAGTGGTAAGGTGTAACATCAATTTTCGCAATGTTCGTAACTTCCAAATGGAAGTTATTAATTATTATTTTCATAGTCATTATAAAACAATCACTTCAACACGAAGGTAAGCGTATTCTACTAGTCTACGAACGTATGATATTATTATTTTTTCAAAATTTAGATTATGGTTGTTGTGTCGGTGCATTAGGGAGCTAAATTTTCAGACGCCTTGTTGTTTTCCTAATATTAGAGTGAAATCGAAAGAAAAAAACTGTTATAATGAAATAATGGAAATATTGACTCAGCAACGGTATTGGTAAAAATACATTTTTTGTTTTATTACCATTTGTTAGAAAGTAATCGTCCAGGGATCAGACATTTTCAAGAATACATTTTAGTGTTATATTTAAGCAAACGAGGAACATGTACATTATTTCCAAAATACACTTTGACCCAGTTATTTATACCTAGCTATATATTATTTTTATTTTTGTTTCGTTTTACAAAGAAAATATATACATATTTTAAACTCAGTAAAATAAGATTAAATAAAAAAAACGTCTGAATTTACAAAAATGTAAACTTATTAATTTCAAAAATAATTAATATTATCCTATTAAATAAACGGCATACCCGTCTTTCTGTTATTATTTGAATTATGCAATTCTTTAATATAGTATGTTCGTAAGATCCTCCATGGTTAAAAAAACGACCAATCTTAACTAGTAATAGGAGTTGAACTNAATTATACACCGTGCTGCCGTAAATTATACTAAATGAGTGTGCAGCAAATAATGCTGGAGAACACAAATTTAAAATTTTAGGTTGGACAAGCGACTTGTCTTGCCCTCTTTCTCCTGGGGACGCCCATGACAAATCAAATATATATTTTTTTTTAAAACATTAGCTGAAAATACTGGACCAGCTGAATCCAAGGTTTTGGAAACCCATGAAAGTAGTAAGTAATTATTCAAAATTATGATCAATAATAGATTTTTATAATATTCAGAAACACCTTAGCACGACTCAGGGCTTCATCACCGAACACTTTCACCAATTTATCGTACGTTTCCATAACGGAATCGCCGAGTTTAACGCAAAATTTAATCGCGTAGCGCTGATATTTGTGACACGCCTTACAAACACGTTGTCGAAAACATAACACAACTGGAAAACTAATTATTGTACGAAAATCGCGAGCACATGTATCGATAGAGGAGGGATGAGAGATTAACTGAACGAAGTTTCAGATTTGCAGTGTTACCACAAGCGTGGCAAAAAAAACAGTCTCATTATTTATTGGTCAGACCTCGTATAATTCTTTAATATCGTATATTAGTAAGACGGAATCCTTCCTAGTGAAAAGATCCTTCACGGTTAAAATAAACAACCGATCTCAACTAGTAAAATTATAAGAGCTGAACTATCGCAGGACTATATGGTAACTCTATGATTTCCCTATTTGCTGGTGTTACGATGTTCATGTAAAATAATTGAAACCTGAAAAAAGCTCCAAAAAAAAATAAATAAACCTAGCATTATTATTACCTAACCTAATCGCGTTTTGTAAAAGTTGTAGACTTATTAGAGTATCAAAAATAATTCATTATTTAATAATGAATAGGATCTTAATAAATTTTACTTATTAATTTTATAAAGTCTAAATCATACTTGTTTTGTTATAAAATATGTTGTAATATAATTTTTTAAAAACATATTATGAAGCTCATGAATCAATCCCACCACCTAATGTCCAGATAAATATCCAAGAAGGTAAGCGATTTTATTTGATAGATAGATATTTTATTTTATTTTATTATATATATATATATATTTTTTGTCGAATCAGTTAAAAAGAGTTAAAAAAAAAATGTTGAAAATCAACAAAATTTTCGTTTTATGATTACCAAAAATTAAAAAGTTTACAATAGGTGTAGAAAACAATAATTGATTCTACAGTTAACTTATACATTGATAAGAGACAGCAATAGCACCTTACATTTGTATTTTGTATATTTTTTTTGTGTTTTCCAGAAAAATTACAATCAACATCAAATAAAAAATACGAGTATCATGTAAACAATAAATTTATCATAAATAACAGTGAGTTTTTACGTTCTTAGTTTGCATTTTAAATGCACCTAATATAATGAGAACATAGATAATGTTGCCATCATGCTTTTTCATTTTTTAAGCTGTCAATGAAATGCAATATAAGTCTATAAATCATTAATTATCTATTATTAATGATCTATTAGTTTTACTTAAATGTGTAATTTTATTTTTTCTGTCTTTAAAAAACTATTTTCCTAGAAATCTTGCTCAAATCAAAATATGACAAGGGTTATTTTAATTGTATTTTGGTTCTAGTGGGTTCTTTAGTTTTTGAAATTCTCATTAATATTCGAGATAATGAAAAAAATCTGTTATTTTAGAGATAAAAATTGTATCTGATGTTTTTGATAATTTATGTGATAATAATTTAAAATTTTATAGTTTCATTTAAAACCAACGAGAACAGTACAAGAGAAGAACGTCCTGGGCCTTCCAGGGATTGGAGTTTCCAAGAAACAATATCATCATTGTATTCGGTAATCGCCGGATTCGTTACAAAATGTTTTCATAGCATTCATTTAACTTAGTTTAAGTATCCATATGTCTTCTAAACATTATTATTTGTTTAATATAACAGAGATATGAATAATTAAAATTGATATACTTAGTACAATACTTATAGGTAAACATAGTTAAATAAGAGTATAAATATAATTATATGTGTATAGACGCATGAAAAATGTTTAATAACATTAATTTGTAAAATAAATATGTAGTTTATGATTTATCGACATATTATCGTGTTTATTATATGCATGTATATATATTAGAAAAACCTATATGATCCTACTATTATACTTTAAATAAATATTTCATACATTCTCTTACTATGATAAATTATAACAGACAATTTTAATTTGATTTTCACTAAAATAAAGAATGCATTTAAAATATAAAATAAATATCAAAAAATAATCAAAAAGAATACTCAATATATTATTTAGCTGCTGTAACACTATTACAAATACTATTATTTAATATGAAATGTTAATAGTACTTTTAGAATTATACACAACTACAAGTTTCTATAACAACTAACAAGAGTAGAACTGTTCTGATAAAATAGACAGTTTTAAAGAGAATGAACATGTATGGGTACTATATAGATTAATGGAAAAAAAAATTATGAGTTTCTAAGAGCTAGACTAAATAATGAAAATGAAAAGCATCGTATTACCTTATTTAACAAAATAAATAAAAATTTATGAATGAATTGATATAATATGGAGTTTGCGTATTTATTATTTGTGTATAATATGTAATACTCATTAGAGCGTAGTGAGAGCATTTTTCCAAGGGTTTTGAAATACCAGAAAAGCCACACAAGAATCCGGTATGAAGATTGAACATGAGCTTCGGCCTCCCCAAATCACAAATACTGTTTGTGCCTATGACTGTGTGTCATGATTTTAGAATTTCGTGTATTAGTTTTAAACATTATACATTTTTCAACAGTTAAAATTTAATATTATTCGTTGAAGACAAACTGTATTTTTAAACTAATGTAAGGTATATTAAGGTATTTAATAGTGTACTGCTAACAATGAATTTAATTATTAAACTATCCTCTAGCTATACCTCAGGAAGGGAAGTAAAGAGTTTAATCGTTGAGTCCGATCGAAAAACAATGACAACGATAACAAACTGGGGCGTCATGCGTTCGGACGAATTACCTTTTCTTCCCCACATAATAAAAACTAGAGATCTCAATAAAATAAGTGTTTTATTGCACACGTGTATCCGTGTCACGGGTAATTATGTCGCATATTCACGTATTTCACGTGACACCGGAATTCCGTAATTTATGTTACGTGAATTTCGTGATCACACTCATGCGAATTTACAAAATACGAAAATTCCGTGATTTATATTCACTTGATCATTAATTTTCATTATTATCGATTTAAATTGTTTACTAAAAATTTTGCTCAAACCAAAAACTGACAAAAGAGCTTTTTTGTAGCATTCTAAATCTAGTTGGTGCATTGAGAAAGTCAATACGCCATAATAGTCATTATACATAAGATATTATATTTTATACCTACCAGTGTCGTGACGTATGTCTTGTCATTTTTTGATTGGACCAAAATTTCTTGTAGAAAAATAAAATATCGAAACTTCAAAAATCAAAAGATGACTTTCTTCGTCACTAACTAGATATAATATGCAACAAAAAAGGCAAACATTTAAAATATGTTTATTTGGTTATTTTAAAGTTTATGTTCACGTGTATTCATCTTTTCACATCTTCAAATTCGTGAATTTCGTAAATTCCGGAATATACGATATTTAGAACGAAATTTTTAATTTCACGTGTACACATGAATTTCGTGTAGTTGTGTAATAAGCAGTTCTAATCACAATAGTGGTGGCCCACCCGTCATGCGATATATGGCCGTCTTTTTATAACTAATTTTTTAAATATAATTCTGGAAAAAAAATATACATACTGTAATACAGTATTCACAATAGCTATTCAAACAATTTGCTGTCAAATTTTTTGATTTCCTTTGTATGTAGAATACAATATATTATTATATCTTTATTAATATCAGAATTTGTGTTGAAAATTGAATTAATTCCGGAAAATATTATATGTCCGGAGTCATATTTCCAAGAAATCTAAAAACTAAAAACCGTATTTGTCTGGAAAGTATATGCTGGGAATCCAAGATAATAGCCGTATTTTTGTTTGAACTGTGTAACGCCGAAACGTATTTCTCAGAGCCGAATTTCTCCAAAATTTAAAAACTAAAAACCGTATGTTTAAAAAAAAAAATAATAATTGTATATATTAATTATTCTGTATTGGAAGAGTTGCTTATAAATGCTATTAAACACTTTTTTTTTACCATTTTTCCATATACCTATACCTACTCTCATTTGTCGCAATAATGCTAAACATACGTTATGCGTGTTTACCTAATATTTACACTCGACATAAACCCAACCCAACGTACAGCGATATTGTTTTAGAATACTTTCTCTTATTTGCAAACGAATAAACAGGCATAAACTTCATTCACTTCACGTCGTATTATACATGAAAATACATTTCCTTTGAGTGCATAATGTTTTTCTCCATATAGTGAAATTCGCATATTGTATAAATATTTAAACACTTTGCTCGTCGTCGCACACACTATGCAAATCGATCGGTTTTCTGAGAAAAAAACGCAGCACTTCTGCCCGTCCAAGATACTCAAATAATAAGACAAGTAAATTGATCAAAGTGTATTTTTTGATCTTAAATTGTACTAAACAAACGCGAATATCACATGCTTCAATAAATATATTATGTACGGGCTGTATTATAAAATAAACCGTTCTACATGTATACCGGCATTAAAAATTGAATAGTAAATATCGTAATAAATATTTTGTCATTTTTAAGTATATTTATATTGGGCAATAAAAGAAAAATGTCTTACCTCCTATCTCTTCCCCAGAAAAAAAAATGTATATCATGGAGTGTGACCATATTCATGTCTGGATTAATTTTAACTATCCAAAAATAAACAAAAACAAATTCATTTTCGATTTTCACGATCGGAATCATGCGTCATTCACTCTTTAGACTTTTTAGAGGTTGAGTTCTAGGATAAAAAGTAACCTTAACATTAAATCTGAATAATGGCTACTATATACCTTGAAACAGTGAAATTCTCATCGAAATTAGCCGGTTTGGCTGTTTTCGAGATTAACCTGGGCAAACAGAAATAGGTACAGATATTACTTAAATGTTTTAAAAGACAACACTTAAATTTGACTGTTTAATTTCTCACTAGGATAAAAATACAAAAAAACTAAATTGTATTATAAAAGTTATAAATAATATAATTTAATATTCATTTATATAATACGACGTTTTAGAAGATGAAAAGAAAAATAATTATAAGAATTATAATAACAATTTCGATAATCGCAAGCTGAATTGAAGTACTGTATGTTTTTACGTTGGTAGCCCAGTGGCGCCATTTTCGTGTTTGCTACACTATATGGCAACCACTTACTGATTAGCTTTGATCTCCCTGATTCACATGATCTATCGTCTTCCATAATTCACTTTAAATAATATTTTACTCTTTTAAGGGACGAGAAAAATCGTTCGTAGCTGTTGTCGCTGACAAAGTCGTTAAAATAAAATTGTTTTTAATGTTTCGGGGTAAACATTATGAACCTTATTGTGTATTAGAAATATATTACAAATATTAATGTTTTTATACAACTTTCTTTTAGACATATGATTTTAGCACATATAATAAATTCTAGCCATAATATTGCGCAATTTGTATTTACTTATTTTAATGTTCAACGAATTGTTTTAAGTAAATTGAATCTGAATTAAAAAAATCCATTTTCACAGATCATTCATATATTACATGCATCATTTGAAAATATTGTATTTAATTCAATTATAAATATTAAAATTAATTTAATTTAAAAATAACTTATGTTTTATGAGCTTTTCTATTATTATTATTAATTAAGAATAATGATATTCAAATATTGATATTGCCAACGCTCTTAAAAATGACATTTCTTATAATTTTTAAAAGTGTCGAATTAATAAGGCTGAAGTAAATACACCATGTTTACTTCTCCCAAATGACGCCACTGTGCTAACCTAATTTCATTAAAATGATGTTCTAACTTCTTAAATCAAATAAAATAATTCACTCTTGGGTTCGAAGACTTTTTCCCTTAACGAATTAACTTATTATTTTTATACGAAAATAGAAAAGATAAAACCGTAATGCCCTCTGTTGAACACACAGAGGTACATCATAATATTATATTATGTAATAATAAATTACTATTATCAAAATGTTTTATCACATCAGTTATTCACAACAAAAATACATAATATTCCTTATTATTAGCGTTAAATATTTACAATCTATATGCGTTTCTTTGGACTGAAAAGTAAAAAAAATACTTATTACTGGTGTTTTCAAAACGATATTTTTTTTCTCGAAAAATACAACAATTTGGGATTACGGACAGGCACGTAGCCAGAGGGGGGGGTTCTATAGGGTTTGCCCGGAAATTTAAGCTTCTCACCAAAAAATCAGTGCTACAATTATTGGTGGTTGATGATAAATTTCATATTTTGACCCTCCCAAAAAAAATCCAGGCTACATGACTGACTACAGACACCCGTTTCCCCAACAACCGCACCAGGGAACCTTTTCAGCACCTTCGTGACCGGTGGCGCTCAATTTTCGACGGCAAATCGTGCTCGTGTCACTGTCGGCGTCCTCGCCGCGAGACACGGATCCACCCCGATGTTTTATGGTGTCCCGTCGAAAACCCATCAGCGACATTCTCCGGCGTCCCCTGAGTGGTGACTCCGCAGAGCCCGCGGTTATCGGCGGACATCCGTCTCTGTCGTTGTTGCAAGGTCCCGGTTTGCCGGTTCGTTTCAGCGACCCAGTCGATTTGGAATTCATCGCCGATGCGGCCGCCACCATCACCGCTGACGCGGCCGTCTTAAGTTCTCCCGTCTGGGGCCCGGTCGCCGTTTTCGAGCTCTCTGGGAATCTAAGTATAAAGATACGAATATTTCTGGTTAGTATAAAGAGTTATACGTGTATAGGTTATTCAAAATAAAAATAAAACAACCCTAAAAATCAATAAAAACAATATACGATTCTGTGTGAAACTGAGTTAAACGTATTGATTTTGCAAAAATATACAACTACTAACTCAAATCGCAATGGTCAGAAGTCTGATTTTTATTTTTAATTTGCGATAGTAATTTTTTTTTCACTACCAAGTATCAAATTTTTGGTCGTTTTTTTCGAAATCAAAGTAGGTGTAATGCTGACTGTAGGTAAGAATATATTTGTACGATCATAAGAGTACCTTGTGGCACTGTAGTAAGTGGGAAGGTGAGAAGATAGAAGTTATTTAATTTATATCTGCAAACAAAAAAAAATAATTGCTACCGAAATATGATTTTGAGCGAATATTTTGAAAAGGTATGTTATTTATGTTTTTCATCAAAATTTAGACTTAAAAAAACTTATAAAAAAAAAAAACAAACCTTTTGTACTAAAAAATTATATTTTTCCATCAAATGCAACTTACGATGAAACTCGTGTTAAAAATTGTTAAGCATTTCTGCCAAATTAGGCTAAACGTTTTTATCCATATAAAACTAAATCACAATTAAAACAAATCGAAAATGTAAAATAAATACCTAGTTCAAAAATCGACGGAATATTTCAAATATTTTACTATATCCAGAAAAAGCCAATATAAGGGCTACTAAGATAAATAAAACAGATAAGTAATTTTATAATCAGACAAGTGTTGAGTTGACACAAGGCTATAATATGATGTTATTGTATTGTGGTTACTACGTTTTAAGAGTAAACATTTAACTTAATCCGAAGATTTTACCTCGTAAAAAAAAAATTGTTACGTTTTCAAATTAAAAACACATATTTCTCAGTTTGAAAAAAGTGACTTTTCTGGTGTTTTCCGTGTACTCTTCAATTCAAGAAAAAATTGTTTTACTAGGTGCACTCGAAATTTAAGACAGTATTACACTGGTAAAAACGCGAAATTGAAAACATAAAAAATAATGCAACTTTGATTGCCATAAGTTTGTCCGTTTTTCCTAAACATCTTTTCCTGGATTTGTCTGAAAAATTACGAAACCTACAAAGAAGTAGTCTTCTTCACTGCACCGACTAGATTCAAAAGTCTACGAAAAAAAGAAACGAAAAAGATTTCCGGTAGAAAAGTTGTTCACAAACACGAAACGAAAATAATACGTATAAATCAAAGCACACGTCCTCGCAGAACCAATACATTCCTCGCTGTGTTTAAAATCTAAAAAGAAAAAAAAAATCACGCACTATAGTAAAACCAATGCGTCCATCGCTGCGCTCAGAACCTAAAATGTATTTACACAAAATCGCCCGTGTTGGTTAGGTAATAATAATAAGTTACACTTGAAATATATCGTTTTACGTTACCTGAATCCGTTGTGAACAGATACGGCAGCGGTGGTCGCAACAGTAGACCCGACGCCGCCGCCGCCGCCTCCTCCACTGCCGTCGCCACTGCCGCTACCGCCACCGCCGCCGCCCCCACCGGTGTCTTTGGTGGACTCGGCACCTCCGCCGCCGAAGCCGGTCGGCGATCCGTTGGCGGACGCGGACGAAGACGCGGTGGACGGGTCGGCCATTTTCAAGTTGAGCTTGATTTGAGACCTGAACGACTTTCTCCGGGCGATGCTGTTCATCGTGCCCGTCTCGTGTTCGGTCAGCTGCCTGACGATCACTTTTTCCGACCCGAACCACAGGTACCTGGGCGCCCCAAGCGTCAGCCGGACGCGCACGTAACGCTCGCCGCCGGTGGCCCCTCCTCGGGCGGTCTTTCTCTCCACGCCACCTGCGCGCACGTGCAGCGTGTAAAAATACAAATAAATAACGAGAGCTATTTTTACGCTCGACGAGCGATACAGTTCGTAGAAACGAGCCCGCGAGCGTGATATCATAATAATATGTACAGAGTGGTTCTTATTTCGTCATAAATTTGAGAATATTGCGAGTAAATTTATTGGTTTTGATTTTTCTCGGTCATATGTAAAATAACTAAATCGTTCAACGATGTCGATTTCAAAGTTTTGTGTATATAGATAGACACATCAAATCGAATAACTCGTTCTCAAATGGCAATCCATAATCTTAAACTCCGATTCGAAAAGAGAATATACAGACATTATACAGTTTTACTATCAAATTTATCGTTTAGGGATTCCAGTGCTACGGTAAGTTGTTAACATTGTTTTACAATATTGAATATTCACTGTGCGTCCACTTTCTCCTCCCTTAAAAAAGCCCTAGGAGCAGAATGGTCAAATCAAAATCTTACTTTAATGGGTGTTTAATAGACAATATTTTGTGCCCATGTGGACACAGAAAATCTCATTAAGAAATGCCCTGTGTAAGGGTAATTGGTAGGCCAGTGTTGTGAGTGGCATAATGTTGGGAATCACGGGAATGTATATACTTTAATAACATTATAGGGTACTTCAAAATGTACTAGTACCTATATTGAATCCGATAGTAACGGTAAATAATTGCTGGTAAAAAACGATTCTGAGTGGAGTTCGATTGAACAACAAATCATTATGTTGGTTGCGATGAAAAATACATTTTGCTATTGAATTATCATTATATATTTGATTCTTGTATCCTTATTGCAACTAAGGAAGCCCGAAAGGAATCGATAAAAAAAAAAAAACATATCAAAATGCAAATGAAGGTATCCATCGTCATATTTTCATTGAAAAAATAAGTATTCCAAATAAAGTACCACCGGTCAGAAAATCTTTTTTAAATACACCTACGCAGTAAAATAGTTTCGGAGTTTTCGCCATTTTTACTTATTGAGAAAAAAAAAACATGTTAGTAAAACTATAATAACTATTTCGCTTCGGTCGGAATCTAAAAATAGTTTGGCAGAGAAAATAATACATCTGTTACAATAACTCAATACGATTTCGTAAGTATTTCCGAATTGGGCTTGCCGGTTCGGGCCGTTATTGCAGAATTCGCGATAAATAATAATTAGACGATATTTTCGCTTTGAAACTTATAAAAACGTAATCATCTGCTGTTGTAGCAGTACAAGCATGGCGGCAGTAAAATAATATTATCGGTGGTACATTCCGTCGGAGTTTATTGTTAGAGTTTCCGTTTTTATTTCGTAGTTTTATGTGTGGTTTTTGACTTTTATGTATATTATTTAATTGTTGTTTTACGGCATTTATAAGTTCCGTTCTTATATTTTCGAGTAATAAAAGTATGTATCATGAATTTCCCCGTACCTCGAAATAACACATTCCTGTCGAAGGAATTTCAGGATAGAAAAATTACGCAGTATTTCTAATTAAATCAAAATTTTACATTTTTAGATTTATTGTATTTTGTAAGGCGTTTTATGAATATCAGATCCACTGCTATGGACACTTCAATATGTCCCTACTCTCATGCACCTGCCTCTTCGTCGTTCATCAAGCATAGCCATCCCAAATCTTTCCTTCTTCTGTCCGATCATTTTTGACTATAAAGTCTTCCCATCCGTTTCGCGTACCTCTTTATATATAAATATATATATATATTCAATAGTGATTCTTCCGATATTTACACATATACGGCCCACTTCAATCCTGAGTGTTTTAGGGCTCTCATTATTCTCGATTCGCTGTATATTGTTCCTCCACTTCCCGTGTAAGAGCTGTGTTTTATGTTTTCAACTTCCAATCCCCAACGTCATATTTTTTTCGGTCCGAGGAATCTACTTCATATTTTTATTTTAGAAACTCCTAACTGTTTTTAATTTGACTTAAGGTTTTACTTAAAAAGTACACAAAGTAGCAAAGTAGGTAGCAGAATATTTATATGTTAATGTGTGTATTGCTATTATATAATGTAACTATAGTTGCGTTTCATCTAAAAAAAACCGTTTATGTAGTTTACATTGTAGTTTATTTGGATACGTTAAAATGAAAACAATTATTAATGATTATATCTATTACAGCATACTATCGTGTACAAAAATAAATCATTAAAACACAAACGGAATTAAAATGTTTGATTGTTAAAGAAAAAAAAAATAAATTATAAATATTCATCGAAATGGAAATAAATGGAAATATTGTTTAGAAATACATAATGAGTGGTTTGAGTAGTTTTTCGACTGTGCAGCTAATACCTATGTTGGTTAATAAAGAAGATTGTAGTCTACGATTGGTAGGTATAGGTACATATAATGATTTATTTTTATTTTGATGATAGTAAAATTTTTGTCAGACTTGCGGTATATTAGGAAATGCAATGTAAATGTACACCCAAACGATTTATATTTTTAGACACCGAACTATACCTCATCACCAATATTATTTTCTACCATCAGCGCATCGCCAACAGCACAGTCTCTTTTCTTTCAATCATCAATGTAACTAGTGCTTATGTGTGCATGCGTGTATGTGTGTGCGCGCGTGCGTATCTGTATGTGTAGGTACTAAACGAAACTCTACCGGATGATATATTTTGACGTAAAATAGTTTTTGCACGTTAACAAAACACCTATAAAAATAGACATCGAATCGGATATACGAAGCAGAATACTAGTATGGGAAATGTGTAGGTAGCTACCATCACATAATAAGGTTATAGAAACTAAAAGACCGTATAAATACTAATTGAGATGGAAACATTTCAAAAATGTTTTATGTTGTATCCGGATGTTTGTCGAAATTTCCCGTAGTTTTTGTTTGTGTATATTATTTTTGGTGGAACGTAAATAATAATTTGAAATGGACATTATAGGCACGTGCATAATATTATAACAAACTTTGTATAAACACGAGTAGTTATCCACCGAAAATCAGACCTTTTTGTGTTATTCTTCTTCTCTGGTTCCATTATTTTCTATCAATTACTTTTTCATCAAGCGAATTCACATCCTCTTTAATTACATGTTACCATCTCGTTCTGGGTTCAAGGAGACCAAATGTTTTCATAATTTCTATAGAATTAATCCTGGCATTGGGGTACAGTCGAGTACAGTTATATGAAGATTTTTATCGCGAAAACGATAGCGGAAATATGGATGAAAAAACACATTGTTACTGATATTGTACCTATATTATTGGATTAAAGCAATAATATTATTTCATACAGATGATTTTTGAAGCACACTCATTCTATTTTCATGGCTAAATTATGCATAAACTCAAGTTCTAGGTTTTGGAATTTTTAAGTGCAATGAAAGACGATAATTTCGCATACTTAGATTAGATTTTTCACAACATTAAGAAGTGTTCTGTGGCGATAACAAATTTAGTTTTTCAAACCAGAACCTACATGTTTTAATGCAAATTGACAATCGGATAATTTTCTAGAAATGTTGACAAATCGTACCCGAAATTTGAACAAAAATGTTCTGAAAATGTCTGCTTTAAATACCAGGGATAATAGCCTTATATGGAGATTGAATATGGACCGTTTCGTAGCAGTCGTGTATTGGCAATTTCTTGTTTTTAATAATGCAGTTATCGAAAATCCGATTTTTATGCTATTATCCATAAAGTATTTTAAGTATAATGACTCAGAAACTTTTCGTTCAAATTTCAATACAATGTGTCAACATTTTTAGAAAAATCATCTGATTGACGATTTGCATTAAAACATGTTTGAAAAACCAAAATTTTTATCGTCATAGGATATTACTTAAATGTTGTAAAAAATCTAAGTATTTAATTATACGAATGGGGTGAGCATGCTTGTAGAATCGCTTATTGTATATTAAAATTTACCTTACTTTTAAAAGCTGTATTTTTTTTTTTATCTACCCGTTTCATCGCCGTTTTTATTAGTTCATTCTGAATCCTAAAAAATATCCCACCCATTGTAGGTAGTCTTCTCCTCCACACAAAGCCTACTACATTTAATACTATAGGAGTAGTACTTTGAAATAAAGCATCTAACTCTGTGTTCATCATACTTCTCCGCTATAATTTTGATCCTTGGTGGAAGTTTTATAATTTTTTTTTTTTTTTATTTCAATTTTATTACCGATTATCGTGCCGTATTTTTTCAAACATTTCAGCACGTCCTTGTCGGCCACGACGTCCGGAACGCCGGTCAGCGACAAGATTATGGCGCCCGCCCCCGTATCCATCAGCAACACCGGAACGTCACGGATTCTGAACGCCGAGTGTAGTGCCCGTTCCAAACACTCGGCGTTGGCGAACGTCATGTAACATCTGTCGTCCGTCAAGCACACCGTTCGCAATTTGTCCCTTAGCTCGACGTCTTGTATGGCGTCGATCACTTCGTCCACCTGTAATACAGCGAATATTATTATGGTACGGGACTTTGAAGCGTTCGCTTATTATTATGTTGGCTCGACGGTACACGTCAATTTATAACGAGTTCAAAATATATGCGATTCAAAAGTGATTATTTTCCTCCCGACGGTTTGAAGAAAAAAATGGGAATAATTTTTACTAGTTTTTCTGCTTTTTTTTTTTTTTGCATACTTTGTGATTTAATCCTAATCCTGACTACATTAATATTGTACACGTGAAAGTAAGTCAGTCTGTCATACGTTTTAACGCCTTAACCGGTAAAACCATTTTGATCTATTTGGGTATATGGAATCTTGGAGCATGGGTTACTTTTTGTCGTGAAAATAAAACTCGAAGGCGATCACCATGTTTTTAGGTATTTTTGGTGCGAAAATTAAATTATTTTCGTTGAATTACGGATTACCTTAGTAACACGGATGAAATGAAAAAAAATGTTAAACAACAAAATTAATAATAAACAGAAATAAAAATGCCATAACAATTATAATAACTTAAAAATGAATGGGTCTATCTGACTGTCCACCGGGCTATTATTAGCTTGAAATAGGATGGGCTACCTTGGTAACATGGATAAAAAAAAAAAAACAATAAACTATGCGCAGTACTGGACGGGTAAGTGAAACGTGAAAAAACGTCATCTTTGAATCTTTGTATTTTTCGGTACAGTAAAAACACTACACTATGTACAACACCTGTGTTGTGCGGGTATCTATGGTAACATGAACGAAAAAATGTATGACACACTAGAACACTTTTAGGCGGAGTATCCACCTTCTAACTATTTTATTTCTGTTCAATATACTGATACGGGCAAAGCAAAGCAGGAATAAAGGTAAAAAAATAATACAAATTTACACGAGCAACGTCGGCCGCAGGACAGTTAGTAAATATAATGACGAAAATATTCGTTGATACACTTCAAATATGAAGAAAGTATGGAGTATTGTCTGTGAAATTTATTTTTGTGCAGGTCTGACGATAAAATACAATACGGGCATACAACTAAACTATAGGTAAGGTTCCTTGCTTAGCAACTGGCCTCACAAATCGACTCACTTCAAACTACGAAGACCAGTAAATATTTTTCCACGCTTAGCGAAATAGTTCGAAGCGAGTAAATCGGCTATTTAAATTGCATATTTGCTTAAATTTATTACAATCCGGCTTAAGCTCGCGTGACACCCGTATGGCCGCATCTTCGTCTTACAAACGCACGACATAACAAATTTTCGTTTAGCCGGGAGAACATTGTGCTGTTAGATTTCATTTAAGAGCGAATTAAGATATTATCAAACTTAAAAGTAAGAATATTCTCTGTGCAACGTCGGCTCTATTTGTTCGATATTTTAATTTTTCAGAGAGAGACGTACGAGTAATATGTGAAATATCGCAACTTAATAACGAAACAATAGCGCCAACTCAGATAATGTTCTTAACTTTAAATTTGATAATTCAAACGACTGATTTCACACTAACATTAAAACCAACAGCCCAAAGCCTTGTTGAACATAAATTAGCTATAATATATCGTACGTTTTTAAGACGGAGACAGCACGTGCGGGTATCACGTCCTCTTAATGGTCGAGACGTGCGGTCCGAAGCTACAGAAACACTGTAGGTGTAGACGTGAGGTTCATACCGCCTTATCATTTACAAACAAAACTTTAAGTAACTGCCGGCATAGAGCTAAATAAAATTACGCGTGTCGAAAATACCGACGGCGGGGCGGCGGAAGTAAATATTAATTTCTAAATCGCACATTAACGACGACGAACGGGCAGGAAAAAAGAAATTTGTGTACTTACGACGTGCAATTATCGGATCGAATAGTGTATCTTAATCTGTGTGTGTGTGTGTGTGTGTGTGTGCGTGTATGTGTGTACGTGTGCGTGTGCTGGTTTATTCAACAGAGGCCGCGCGGAATATTTGAAAATCTTGAAGACGTTGCGAAAACCGGCTATCGTACAGCGAGTGTCAGCCGCTGCTGCAGTCTCTTCGGACTTTTAGACGGTTTTTTTCGGTGGACCAACAGTGTGTTCTCCTTTTTTTTTTTTTTTTATTCGCGAGCATTATAACTTTATATCGTTTAGATTTTTTTTTTTTTTAACGATTTCGTGTGTTATATAAAAAATGGATCAAATATATTTTTAACGCGCGTACTGCAGCAATTAAAATAAACAACCGGTGTTTATATTATTAGCACGTCTATTACACTCCGGCAAAATAAATTATTCGCTGCACTAGTCGATCAAAAAACAACAAAATCATCACAATTATTCACATTACCAGATATTTGTTTATAGATATATTTTACGCCCTGTCGGCTGCCGCGGTCTTCGCGGATAGATAGCGATTGTTTTATTATTAATTATTTATTTATGTTTTTGTTTCTGAAGTTCGAATAGATGACCGGCCACATGTGACCATGAATCTCGTTCAGGTTTCGACGAATACATTTTTCACGAAAAATCGTAAATTGTTTTTTTTTTTAGCTAAATCATTGCTTCGGCCGATAATTCACAATATTGCCGAAACTCCGAAAATGTGATTTTCGAGTTTAAAATTGTTCCGATTAAAACGAATGCAACGTTTAAAAGTTCGTCGATTTAAAAATAATAACGTATTATGCCGTGAAAGCGCCGAGAGAAATACAACGAAAGTATATCGCGTTGAAGAATAAGTTTTATCTCTCCATATAAAACATTATCATATTGTAGTTTGTTTTCCTTTTTTTAAACCGATTCCATCCCGGTGAAAAAAACTTATATACCATATTTTGTCCAGGATAAAAAAAGTATGTATACCAATTCCGCCCTGATTAAAAATAAGTATATACCAATTCCGTCCCTAATAAAAAGAAAGTTAACTGCAATATTACAATACTACTATATAAGTACAATAAAAAAAAAAAAATGCTAAATTCAGACACGGAGACGCGCAAATAACGACCGAAAAGTTTAAAAGTTAAATAGTATTGTCTTTATTTCTAAATAATACAGTAGGTGTTATTAAATTCGATTATTTAATGCTATAGCTGAAAGCAATATTATCCTATTTGTTTCTAAGTAATATTAAATTGTTATCGCAGTCGTACATTTTATTCTATATTGATACATAGCGTAGAAAATGCAAAAAGGGACGGAACATTTCAATATCAAAATATTTAGCGAAACAACTATTTAATTTCGCTACACTTGTAAATTCGTATTTTGATGTTGCAATGGTTTAACATTAGATTTATTTTGTTTGTTTTGTTTTTAGGAGGGTGTTCCGAATAAAAATCACTACCGAAAAATTACGGTTTCGCATCGGTAATGATAATAATATTATACCGGTACACTGTCTGTGAACCGTGCGGGGTTATCGATTTCTTTTTCTTAGAGTAGATACATAATAAAACTATATTATATAGATTACGAAGGAGAAGAAAATGTTTACACTGACGGTTCGCTGTTAAATTTTATTTATATTGTATCGAATTACGTTATGGCAGTCGGCTAACACGCAGCGAATATACATTATTGTTTACGGCGAACATCATAAAAGTTTAATGGAATAAAGTAACATTCCGTTATTGTGTATCTTTTGCGAACGTAGTTGCACGCTAAAACGATTACTGCTTCGTTATATAAACGCGCCCTGCAGATACACGCGGAGAAAAATTTAAGCGATCGTTTAAAAGATAAACTTTAAGTAAGTATGTATACGTGTATTACGCTGCGAGGACGATATTCAAAAGGATTAAATGATGCTGCGCAGCCTTTGTTTGTGTTCGAATAGACGTTTCATTTAGGTTTAGAAATCAAAAACGCTTACGGGGTAGGGCATTTTTTAACGGGGTTTTCCGTGTCCAAGCGGACGTAAGTCGAAAATCCATTGGACGCCTAGTAGATTTTTGTTCCCGTGTGACCACTAGAAAATGAATAGTGAACGATCGAATAAGTCGGTTTTGCAATAAAATATTTTAATTTCAATAGGAAATATTCTCACTGGGATAAAAGGATGGGTAAGTTATGGGAGAGATATTTTGCTCTGTCTGTTCTTTTTTTTTTTTATGACCGTGAACATTGACTAAAAATATGCTGGCAAGGAGGATTAAGTTCGGAAGCTATGCGATATAAAAGTAATTTAGTTTATATAGGTACTGCAGAACGCAATAATCAATAAAAACAATAAAAAAATGATTTTGAACGGAGCTCGGAAAACCAGCTGGCGGTATCATTACTTATTAATAGAAAACAAGTCTCGTGTTTCCCCTCCAAGCCAAGGTAACACAAAAATCAACAAAAATAAAATTCGTGTATCGTAATTTCTAATCAGTTTTTTCAAATTTATTAGCAAAACTTTGAGGAATCTTGGAAAATTGATAAAATTGACCATTGAGCAGAAATTCCACATTTTATAACGTACCGCGTGGAAAAATCGAAACATATTTAGAAAAAAAAAAATAGTAACTTTAACAATTCTACGCTACAATCTAAATTTAAAAAAAATAAAGAATAAGAAACGAAAACCAATGTAGTTCTAATGAATCATTATTTTGTTCTCCTTTGGGTTCTGTTTTTATACAGGGTGATTTTTTTGCTATGAACCAGTATTTATCTCGGATAATTTTAAGCAAATATGATTTCTGGTTTTTTTTTTTTTTTTATCATTGTGGAATAGGATGTTTAGGCGATGATAATCGGCGCGCGATTATCGCCAATAACGGCGGTACTTCAAAAACGTTTCGGTGCACATTTGAACGGTGTTGGAAACGCACCGACGCCGAAACACGCCCGCGTCGCTAAAACGAGCGAACCGACCGCTGCGGCGTACCCGCCCGTCGAACGTTTAATCGGTTCGCACCGAGCACCGACAACAGCGTACGATTTCATAATTCGTTTTCGAGCGCGCGTAAAAAACGCCTACCCTGAAACGCGCCGGACGTTCGGCGGCATTCGATTTTGTTACACGTTCGTATGCGTGTCATCGTTGTCGCCGGAGCCCGGGTTTCGCGTTGGTTTCTGCTGACTATTGCGGGGCACGGAGAAAAACAACAGAGCGAGCCACGTACGCGTCACGCCGTTGTTTCGCGCGCCGGGCACTGCGAACGCGCAATTCAATATCGTCATTTTCGGCAATTTACTTCCGAGTACCTGTACATCGGCGCTGTCTTTCAAGTTTCCGACATGGCGATTGCCGACCACTACTGTTACGCATTGTTCCCGAATCTCGTTTGCGTTCGACGAAAAACGGGATGGAAAAAAATCCTCATTATCCCGCCGCGCGAAAAATATCGACTGCACGCGGGCTATCTGCCGCGGACGCGATTCATAGCGCACGCCGTAACAACGCCGTCACGGTTTCCGTAACTGTTTGTGTGGAATTATAGGCCTCACCTCGCCTGGCCGATACGTTTGTGCCGGAACGCAAAAAGTACACGCCCGTATAAAACACCCACGAAACGACCGGGGAATATTTGACCGGGCTGTTAACGCACTGGTACTTAAGACTTATACTCCTGGGACGTTTTGAAACGGTTTTTCGCGCTGTGGGATACCCTGCGCGCTTTCGTTTCATATTACAATCTATTTTGTTTTTCATTATCTGTTTTCGTATTTGTTGCCGGAAAACCGTATCTTGGCGGGGATGCGATTGTTTTCTTCGCCAAACTATTATACGTCCATCGTTGGCTGCAATGCGATCGAGAACGTTCGGCACTTTTTAGCGTTCGACTGTGAACGCTCGAAATGAAACAATGTAATAGCCGTTGACCTCCCCCCCAAAAAAAAAACAAAAAAAAAACATTACTACCGAGAACAAAAATTATGAAATTAAAACTCGTAAATAAATTATGAAAAACTTATGCAAAATGTATAACAAAACGGTATTTGTGGGCGTTTAAAAACAATTCAATTTCCACCACGTTCAGAGCATATAAGTCTTGGTTATTTTCCATTTTATTTAACTGTTAACGTAAAATATTTCGCACATAAAACGCATAATACGGGAAACCGCGTACTGAGTGACGCACTAATGCGTATATTTTGATTTTATTATTATTCGTTGCAAACAATTCGTTATCGTTGCATTTATATCGATCATCATTATTGATGGATTCAGTAATAGGCCATCTCAAACAACAATCAATCGGTAACCATTAAACTCGATTACGATACGAAATACAAGAAATATATATAATAAATTTTGATGGGTTGAATTTTCAGATCACTACATGTTTGGCAACGTTGCGTGGAACTATCAAAAACGGGCGTTCTCGATCGCAATAGTCGAAAGAGTCTATAAGAAGGTATCTGCGATAATGACCGTTCTCAATCGTATTTCTGCCCTCTTGTTGATGTTCCGGGGTTTTCTGTGTTTATTCATACAGTGGCCTTGAAAAAGGGAAATTTTAGAAGCAAATAATGATTATGGTCTGATTCCTGATGATACTGTTGTATTGGATTTATCCGGTTGTCGCGCCAATATTCTTAAGAATACAAGGTAAACTTTAATTATTCCCGTTGTAAACTACAGTATCCACCTGACTACGGTCGTGCACACTTATCGTCCGCTATCACTTGCCAACATCGGTGCGTCCAACGCGAATTCCATACACCGGTGTAGTATAATCTTATCTTGAGCATGGATAACGCACGAGTGCGAAATAACAACACAATCGATTTTGACGGCGTGACGGCGTAGATTTTAATATTTGACAATTATTTTCTGTGCGATTCGCAGTTGCCTAATACTCGGAGCCGGAACGTCCAGGCGGGATGACATTTTCAATAATATGCACGGCGTTAATAATATCAAGGACGTACCTTTAACGGGAGGGGGATTCAATTTTCCACTCTCGCTCCCACCCAGTCGAATTTCACAACGTTTTTAATTTTTGAAAGCAATTATAACTATTGTAATATTGTATACTATACAGCGTCCGGTTATTTATCGTTTTACAAATAATATTTCCATAATGCAAAATAGTCAGCGGGAAATTCGAATCTAATGAGGACGAAGTTCTGCCTGCTCACGAATGGTTTTTTTTTTTTAAATTTCAAAAATACATATTTCATTAGTGCATTTTGGTGGTGTATGGGCAGAGGTAAATGCCTTTCCGACGGGTTTTTAATGCGTTTAATTCACAGGCTCGCGGCCGTAATATTATTATTCCCGTGGTTTTATACTTCCTGCGTGCACCCCCGGGATAAAAACAAAATATATATTTAACAATACGTATAGGTATTCAATTTGTTTTTAAAACGCAGCCGTGGCTAAAAAAAAAAACAAAAAAAAAAACGGTGAACGCACTCTAAATAAGTACTCGAAAAAAAAAACCCGTCACCACGTCATGGTTAAAATCTACATAAGCGCGGTTAATGTATTCAAAAGTTAATTTTTCGTAAATTTTCAAATAATTATGACGTGCGGTTCAGAGGCATAACGTGCAAAGCCTACGCCGTTTTTGTATTGTTCGTTTTTTTTTTTTTATTTTTAGTTTTTTTTTTTGTTTTGTAATTCCATCTCACCGCGTATTCATTCCGACTAAAACGTACGAATCCGCACAATACGGTCGCGTACATCAATTGCGTACTTTTCGGTAAATATAATTTTTTAATGTCAAAACAAAAATAGAACAATTCTGAACAATATGCAGCCCTTTTAAAAACCGGATACGTTGACTAATTAGCGTTTAACTAGTTTGAGTTAAGCTATCCAAAAAAGAAATATAACTAAGCTAAGTTAAAGTTGAATAGATAGGTTTGTGTAACTACAAATCAAGTGAAAACGTAACAAATTGTTAATTTAACATTAAGTTAGTTCTTTTTTTTTTAAAAAAAAAAAAAAAATACCTACTACGTCCGTAAACGTAAAAATATGTAATTTTTGTCGAAAATAATAAATACGGAACGCATAGGTATAGTTACACGGTTTTTGTACAAAGTATTCGTAAATAAAATTTTAGAAATACCCAAATTAAATATTAACAAAATTAGTGTTACAATTGTTTTGTTAAAGGCAATAATCAAGTTATTAGGTAACTAAAAGTTGTTTTCAAACACACTGGTTTGTTTTTTTTTTTTTTTTACTAGCTTTGATTATTGTAATAACAAACTGTTACACGTATCTGCAGGGATCTATGAACATATTCGCATCGCATATGCAAACGGTACGTGATTATTGTAATCGTGATGATAACATTTATAAAATTAAGTACAGTACAAACTGTTTTAAGTATATTCGGGCGGGACATGATCTGTTCTGGGCGGCTATTGTAAATCGATCGTTAACACACGTGTGCAGATAAGTAGGTGCCTGTACAATATCATTACTATACTTGTGTTCAGTGGCCGAACGATTAAACGGTATTTGAGAAACGGTCGTTTTTCGGTTCCGTTTAGTTACACGATGTGTTAACGTTTAAGTTTCTCACCCGGCGGCGGGCGGGTGGAAACGAAATTAAACTTCACTGCGTATTTAGTAAAATTACGCGAACATTATTGCGACAGGTATCTCGGGAATATTGGGAAATATCGCCGGGCGGGAACCGGGGAGGTTGCGTACGGCTACCTATACGTTTCTGAATTTTTTCGGGTTTGCATCGCCCGATGTTGATGGAATCGCCCAATATTAATCGGGCATGTGATGGAACTTACGGACGCGGTCGGTCCAAGACCCTGTTGGCTATTACTAAAGAACGGATGTTTATGCATTCATCATATTTTTTTTTACAACTACATTAATGCGGAACAGGATGGAAATTCGTTTCATCGATCAAAGAATTCAAATTTTGCATATTTGTCCATATTTGTTCGATTTTTACTCGCTTGATCATAATTTTATACGCATCATGCTTTGGGTGCGTATCTGACGTTTTTCGTAATGTGCAACGATTATTTTTACCAAAACTGGGAAAACTCTCTGGAAGAAACTGGACAAATAATACTGCTCGATACAATTGTCGCCATCAATTTCACGTCGATTTTTCGGTTGTGTATTGTGTTCCGCGTTTCGCTCGTTTCGTTTTCGTCCGAAGTGAGTTTCTATATAATATGAAGCTTTATAGCTATTGATTTCAAAACGCCGAGAACCTCCAAACCGTCGCGACTATGCACTTTTTTATCTGAAATTAAATTTTTTAGTACCGATAGAATTGTTTTACACTGTACGTTGCGTAATAGGTACTTCGGTAAATGGTGATTGACGTTTTTTTAGTGCGTAAGCATATTGATACAAATAAACGTATCAAAAATTCTAAGCATAATTCTATACTTCAATGTGCACAGTTGCATGCATATTTTTCAACTTTTTCGGGCATAAACATCCGCTCTCTAGACTCATTACTTATTAAACATCCGGACTATCGCTCCGTCGCGATTGTCGCGTGACGGCGCCACGTGTATGGATAGAGTGACGCCAAACACGCGACGCGCGTCTCTCGTGTAACACTACAATATTATTATGCAAAAACCTCGATCGGGTTTGTCGATCGGGCCGCGACGTCATCTCCATGATAACCGTCTCGATATAATTTTTAATCGGCGACACTATTTTATACTCTTATATTCGATACAAATAGACTGGGAACGCAGCGATAATGCGCTATAGCACGACTCGGGAAAACAATTGATAATATTACAGGGTACTCGAGCGATGGACCCGTCGCACGATTTGCGTTCAATATACCGAAAATGTGTGCGCCAGACACCCGCCCACGACGTGGTCGTCTCGTAAAACTGACAAAATGTGACCCGCAATAGAATAAATTATATACAATAATACACTGCGATTCTTTGAGGAAATTGAGAAAAAAAAAAGAGAAAGAAAGATGTATACAATTTGTGAAAAATCAACGACGGCTAAAGAAACTGATAAGCCTACAGCTTATTTTCCGAAATATTGTACTTCTGATTAACCATTACAATATTTTGGAAAATGAAACTCTCGAGAGTAAAAAGTGACGGAATAAATAACATTAACAGAATATTAGAAAATAAACGTGACAGGAACGCAATTATGTATAATCTTTTTTTAAAATTTTTTGATTTATTTCCCACACAAATTATTTTCTAATCGTCGTGTTACCCCGTCTCCCTGAATCTTCGTCCATCCACTTTTACCCACTTACACGCAGTGGCGTACGCCGGGAGGGAAGTTAGGGGTCACATTATCTCCCCGCCTCATTGGTTTTTTTTAATACATTAACTAAGAGTATTTATTTAATAATTTAATTTTAAAATAGTTTATATTACAGCCATGTTAATCCAGAAAAAGCTTGAATTATCGATTAGAACTGTTTCTTTTTTTCGAAATTCTCATTTGCGAATTGGGTAAAAGAAGGCGAGAAAGAAGATTTTACAATTTATGTACGATTAACATTTATGAAGTCCCTTATTCTCCACCCGTTGAAAATTCCGGGGCACGTCAATGCTTCCGCCGACGGCGTCTCGCGGTATATCCGGTAGTCTGTTCGTCTGTTTTTACGGCGTAAATAAAAATTCCGTTGTTAACGAGTCGCGTTCGCGTAAATACACAATCTCGCCTGACAGCATTGAGAAAAACAAGCAATAAAATGGATATTTCGATATTGAGCCGAGTCAAACGAGCATGACGAGTTTGACGATAGTCGACGAATTATATTATCAATGATAAGTATTAAGTTTATTCGGAAAAATGTAATCTGTTAAAAATTAATAGCACGTTGTTATTTAATTAAGTCGAGTTAAAAGTAAATTTGAAAATATACGAACTTATTGTTAAGTAAGTTGTGTAAATATTTGATAACGGTGAAAATGATTAAAGTTTAATCGTTAAACCTACGCAGTGTTTGTAATTACCGGAAAATAAGAACGATCAGGGCAGCATATGAATGATTTATACATATTTCAAACCATACGGAATTCCAGAGTATAGAAGTGACAAACGGTCGAAATTATGTATAACTCGGTAGTTGATACTTCATCCGTAGGATGGATATTTATGTGCATTTGCGTGTTTTTACTGGTCGGTTAAAAAAATGTAGCTAGTAAAAATGAACAATAAATTATTTAATAATTGTTTAATATCAAAATGTGTTTAGAAAATAGAATTTGACATTTTTTTGATTTTTAAGGCATATTCAAAGATTTTGTACTTTTTTGAAACATTTTTAACGTGATTTTTATCATTGTTTATTTTAGTAAATATTTTTTACGTTTTTAATGCACATCTGTACACATGCTGCACACCTATAGGTGTATTATGTCCACTTCATGAAATGGAACATTTTTTGCAAATGAGCAAGTCGGTTAATCAAAATGGAATAGAATAGGCGAAAATTTGAATATTTTTCGAATTGGACTTCGAAAATGGGTCAATTTACTAGGAAAATCTAATATAGAGTAACGTTTCAATAGGAAAATTGTAACCCTTAAGCATAATGTAGAAGAGGTTTAAACAATCACTTGTGAAATTTTACCCCCTGATAGTATACGAAGGGGACGCGGTTTCTCTAGTGATGACACACTTACCGTGAGGTCGTGCAGTTGTCGGTTGTTCCCGGTTTCAAAGCACGCGGTGTGCGGTTGCAACACGGCCGCTCCGTCCGGAAACGAGTCTCCGTGTTGCGGGCCGTCGTCCCGTTGCGACGGGATTTGTAGTAGTCGGGCGCCGCAGCCGTCGTCACCGCCGGCCGCGGGCGCGTCTTCGGCCATCATTGTCACGACCGCGGCGGAGGTTCCGTCCCGCGGGTCGGCGCCGAACGCGTCCCTTCGTGGGCCCGCCGCGTCGGCGATGACATCATCGCGGTCACCAATACGGTCACCGCCCGTGACGCGGTTCACCTGCAAAATTCAAGCACACGCGTTTTGATACGTCACACACGCGCGATACGAGAGAACGGCTACACGGTGCGCAAAGGACAGAGATACATATTTTGGTATTGGACCTGTTATTATATAATGTCGACTCGGGGCGGCCGGCACGACGACCGGCGGGTTATTTACCGTTCCTCCGCGAGATGGCGCCGAACGCCGGAGTGAACCGTATCAGGAAATTATGGCGATTCCTAACACAGCGAGAAAATGATAATACCGTTCCCTAGTAGATATTATCGTTTTTAAAAATGATAGTAGGAAACGACTATTGATTGTAACGTGCGAGATATTATATCAAAATGAGATTAGAATTGAAATGTCGCCGTTATCATGTCTTGTCCTATAAATTTTTTCTGAAAAATTTCCCCAGAACCAATGTTTGTCTAAGCGGAGTTTTTTTTTTTTTTTTGTTGTTTTTGACGAGTTGAAAAGGTACGATGCCGTTTACAAATCGGCCTTTTCTTTTCACCCGGACGGGCGGAGAAAACCTTAGTGCTCGGGCACGCGGGCCGGTTTTCGTCCGCGTGCCGTGTACGCCGCGTAAACGGCGACGAAAAGTGCGCGTTCGCGGCTCCGTGCGTACGCAACACCTCGTGCGCGGCCGCGTTGCTATAACGGCAGTGTAACGGCGCCGGCAAAACGCCTCGTAATATTTATATGATGGTAAAACAATACGGCGAACACAAAGTTGATTGGAACGGTTAACGGTCGTAAACAAACCAAGCGAGTAGAACGCAACGTGGTAAACAAATATGTAAGTAAAAGAAAAAATTGTGTGTAAAAACAGAACAGATAAATGTCCGAACGCGACGCCTGGAGTATTGCGGCGTGTGCGTTGCGCGACCGGTTTCGAGTTGAAAATTCATCGCCGGGCATACCGCAGTCGAAACGTAAAACAACGGGGAAAATGCGAAACGGAGTGGCGTTTCGTATACCCGATGATGAATTTTCAACTCGGAACCGGCCGTGCAACGCGCACTTGCCGCGAAACTCCAGGCGGCGCACTCGTTCATTTATCGATTTTATTTTTATACATCGTTTTTTTTTTTTTTTTTTTCCATTCATATATTCATTTACATTATCAATATTATAGTTGGATACGACAAAAAAAATTTCGAAACCCGGACGCGACGCGTATTCACGTCGCTCGCCTTAAACGAGCCGCGTCGGACGCAGCGAGTGGAATCCGGAAAACTAGTCGGACACGCTACGGCGGCGTTCTTATCGTTTGAAGAAATATAGCCGGTATAAGGGTCCGGGCCCACCCCACTCCCGAAAATTTCTAAAAATAGAAAATGTTTTAGTAGTGAATACGGTGTAATATTCACTATAATTGTACAAAGAACAATCTCTATATTTTCGTCCAAGCAGTGATTTGAAATAAAACGAAATCTGTCATTCTGTTGAGGCTTTATGTTTTTAATGTAAAAATGTTTATACGCAGACTCGTCGCGGTTTTTCGTCGAATGAGTTTTAGGTTTGTTGCACTTATGGCACGGAATTCCGTAAAAAACCGTACCGCGTCTAAACAGACAGAGCGAACAACGTGAGTGAACATCGAGTTTTCGGCATTACAAATTTGTGATGAAAAATCAAAGCACCGGTAGGAGAATTATATTTATCGTATTTTGTAGCTCGTTCCAAGCGGGGAACGTTAATACGTGGGTCCACAGTCCGTCTAGGTGAAAAGTTCGGAGGTATAAATAATATAGGGTGATATTCAGTCTAGTGAATGCTTTTTTAACGAAAATTAGGAGGGGATTATGAAAAAAAAAAAAAAAAAAATCATCACTCAGTTGTTGATATTATTGAGTATGAGTATAACACACGTGTGTACCCATTCGTCGTCACGCACACAAACGTAATAACCCGCGAAGAGGGTATTATAATTTCTGTTTGAGGGGGCTTGAATAATCCTTTATTTTTTTTTTTTAATAATTTTGGGACGGCTACGGATGATTTTATAGGCTAACTCCCCTTAGCCTTCCGATCTCTACGACTCCACCTACGATACTGTTATAAATACTCTAGGGAAACATATCCGAATATGTATTCTGAATACAGATTTTGTATTTATATTTTTTTCGGAAAAAAAAAAAACCACGGAAATAACTAAATTTTCGTTATATTTTGATCAATAACAACAAGGAGTTGAATAGGCAACTATTCGGCAACAATCACGTAGGCTGCCGAGCACTGGTCATAAATATTTTTTTTGCTCATCCCAGACAATGTTAGGTATTTGATAATATTGGTAAAATTGCATGATTGCATCAATATTATCAAGAATTATCAAATTTTTTATGCAGCAATTCTTCCGTGATAATTGTTTTCCTCATAATTTTATCCTTGGTCCGTCACGGTTCTTTCTTTTGTTCTTCTTTCATCCAAGTTCCGCTGCCATAAAACATATTACAGTCATTTTTCGAATGCGAGTGTTCAAAATCTATTGTCGCTGAATTTGAAAACCGCAAACTAAATATACTTTTTGTGCTCGGTAGGTTTTTTAAAAACACAAATATTTTTTCTAACCAAAATCATGAAAACAAAGACAATTCTTTGATGTTCGAAAACAATCAAAATCAAATTTACTCGAAATCATCGTACATATACATTATACAGGATGACTCACTAAGCGTGCTCGGTCTATTTGTTTGATTAAATTTTGCATGTATTCAAATTCCGATTTGCGGAATTTTTAAGTTTAGTTAAAGTCGATATTTCCGAATATTGAGATTTTTCACAACATTTATGAATAACTGAACATAAAAGTGAATAATCTCGTTAACGGGTCGACGGAAATAAAAAATGTGAACACCAACATTTATTTAAACTAACACTCCGTCTGTATACGGAATTTCTAATGTACGTTCTCGTTTGAAAAACCAAAAAGCAAAGTTGGTTTCGCCACAGGATACTCCATAAATGTTGTGAAAAATCCAAGTATTAGAGAATATCGGTTTTAACTACACTTAAAAATTACAAAAATCAGAATTTGAATGTACTTGTGTCAAATTTAACCATACAAATGGGATGAGCATGCTTAACGGAATCACTCTGTATAATGTCGTTTTGTTCGTGATAAAAAAAAAAAAAAATCATCCCGTACACACAATAATCGTTATCGTGGTGTCATTTCAAATATTTGACCTACACGCGCGCGCGCACACACACACACACACACACACACACACACAAACACGCTCGCGCGGGGAAACAAATATAATAATGCCCCGTCAGGGTCCGTTCGAGTGTATTCGTTCGGTTCGAATGGATGACTTTGAAATTTTTTTTTTTCCCGAAGAGACCTGGTCGGAAATAATAATAATAATACGATGTCGTTCGGTCATTCCGATTGTATATAATAAATAATATACGCATTTTCGTCATAACGCGTACACGCTATGTATGTGTACGTATATAATGCGCGTGTAATGTTATAAAAAAAAAAAAAAAAACATTTCGACTTCCCCTTTTTCGTATTTCTTTTATCTATCCCCTTTTTTTTTTTTTCTTTTTTTTTTTTATAGTAGTTTACTGAAGCTAACGAGTGGATTTTTTTTTTCGTACTATCGTTTACGCACGCGATCGAAGATTAACAAAAAAAAACGGGAGTTTTTTTTTTCTCTATGTTAGGTCCGTCGATTTTTTATTTCGACAAAAGTATAATAGTAACAATTTCTGTCGTCTTATACACGCAAGTAATTCTACGAGGCGATTTTTATTTGAACACGAACCAACGATTGTAATAATATCATAATAATTGTAATTGAGTAAATCGATACGTTTGATGTCCGTACGTCTACGCTGTAGATAATAATAAAATCACCGCGATTAAACACTCAAACCTTGCGAAACCGCGCGCACGGCAGTGGTGGCGGGGAAGGCAGCTGTGCGATTTTCCAATAAAAGTATTTTTTTTTATATTTCCAATATTGTTTTAAAACCTTAAACAGCGAACGTCAAAAAAATGCGTACGACTTTAATCATATTATGTATTTTTAAATTTTTTATAGTATTTTTGGAAACATTCACTTATCATAACTATTTGATAAAGTTAAGTTAAGTTAAAGTTAAGTTTGAAAGTTTTGTTTTCTTCTTTTTTTATTGTTGATTATAAACTAAAACACCCAGTGTCATTTAAGTGGATTTTTTTATTAATGTAAAAATTGGTTTGCTCAAAAGGCTCTTGGTAATTGTTTGTTCTACCTGACCGTGTTACATAAATTAAAAAGACAGCTAAATTAGAATTTTCATCTGTACACGAATCAATCGCGGTGGTTGATACATACGAGGTGAGCGTTTCCATACGTCTCATGAAGTTGAATCGTTAGCAGATAAAATGGTGGGGGAAACTCGAGAGCAAATGCATTTTACGACGCCCCTTATGAAGTTAAAATTTTTGGAAAAGACTTGTTTTTCAGCGCTGATTTTGAAAGTGTTTGATTTCGTATTATTATTATTATTATTATTATTTTTTTTTTTTTCAGAAATCATTATTGAAGTATTTATGGCGAAAACCGTCGTAAAAACATACAGGCCTTCGCTGATTTCCACGAGCTCGCTTTGCGGTTCTATAGAACCATAGAACCGAAACAGTTTTAATCGATAACTCACCTACCAAAGCATGTCCAACCCGATACTGTTACAAGAAGGCTACAGTGTTCTAAACGTAAAACGGACTTCGACGATCCCTATATGCTCGCTTTGCGTACACATGTCGGACTTTTAGATTCGAGGCTATTGATAAAGCTAATCGTGATAATTAATTTTGATATAATATCAGTAGTGAATTTCTAGAGTAACGGTCCATTGCATTTTGTACTGTATTTTTAGGGATTTTAAATACATTTGTTAAGGTGATGTAGTGCATTAAATTTACAACCCTAGTGATGACTGATAAATTATAATATTTACCCCTATAGGTGAATTCTTTCCTTAAAATATACCCGAGCACAATTACTATCGGAAAATAAGACTTCAAACGACGGCCGTTAATTTTTAATTAAAAAACCTAACTATCCGAAAAACTGCTGATATTTGGTTATTTTTTTATTTAATTTACTGCAAACGAAATCCACGCAAACATCTAACACACGGTTTTTAAGAGAATTTACTGTCTCAGTCTAAAACTGAAGCCCAACATATGGCAAAATAGTTACATTACATAGATAGGTTAGAGAGTAAATTGTGACATTTAGGTTTTGAAATAAGAATTCAACACAGAAAAGGTTACTTTTATTTTCCAGGCACAATGACGTTTTTTTCTAAAAAAAAATTGTTATGTAAAAATGTTACAACTATTTAATAAAAAGAAAAACTAACGTGACTTTCAATTTCTTATTCGATAATATTTTTTAGAAAAAAATCGACATAGCAATACCTTCGAAACTATTCTACTCGTTGAATTTTGTACTATTAGTAAATGCTATTTCCAATAAAATCTTATGCGAATCCCGAATCTGATTGTTTGTCTTATTATTGCTAAACGACGACGTTACAAATAAAATTCGGTCCGAAACGTGCGCGTATAGGGGAAAACAGAAATGCCATATTTTTCCACCGTCACTAATAATTATTATTATTGCAGGTTGCCGTCAGGTTTCGTAACGTACGGCCTTTTGTAAAAGGCTGTCCGTAATATATAACGGTAAGCGCTCGTTAACAATGGTTTTCTAAAGGGGAAAAAAGCGTATCATCATTTGTCCCGGAAACATTAGTCAACGGTCATTGGACAACTATCTGCGAAATGCGATTCACTGCGAATCCGCATTCTCTCAGGGGTATATCGACACAACAAAACATTGATATATAGAGCGATGATGTTTTATCATGATCCGGCGATTTTCTCCGAAGATTTTAACAAAATTTTGATTTATGTTTTTTCCTCCTCCTCATTCATTACGGAATTGTTTAATGATCTAATTAACGATATTTACGAAAAGAAAATATCATTGTAAACGTGTCAATATGCATTTATTTTATAATAGACATCTAAAATAGAAAAAAATATTTTAATTCAAATCTGTGTTGAAATGGGAGGGTCAACAAGGGAAGATTGGCATTTTAAAATGAAAAATAATTTAAGGAATTAAAATAAAGCTTAAACAATAATTCATGTATATAAGTTAATAATAATACGGTTGAAAAACAAAAAACAAATCTAATTTACTTGAAATCCGCATTACTTTACATGAAAACAACCAAATCATGATAAATAACTTAACTTGTTTTATACACGCGTGTCATTTACACATTTTAAAATTGTTCGCATACCATTTCACCTAATAACCTTTTCTTTTTACGTGTATCATTTTATTATTAAAACTTACAATTTTAAACATTTAGTTTCCAAAAGTAAAATTAAATACGTACAGTTAATATTCGTGTAATTTTATTTACGAATCAATAAACTACAGTGTAACTACGCTATAACGAATAACTTTTTTTTAACTTACCAAAAATGTTCTTTGCATATCACAGGTTGGGAAACGCTGTGTATTAAAAATTATGGAAAATTCGGTTGTAATTAAAGCCAACGTGTTTTTATTTCTATACATCAACTAAATATTACAATGAAAAATGATATAATGTGCAACATTTCACTTCGTGAAAGAAAAAATATAAAAAATATATGAACATCAGGTCTGTAAAAAATGCCGAGTATAAGCGAAAATTTACAAATTATATTCTCGTATACGTGTGGATTACTTCCAAAAATTGTGCATCCGCAACGATAAAGTGATTAATATTGTTAGTATTATAATAAATAATCGAATAAAACAGTTTATTAGCAACGTTTCAATTTTATTGGCTCTAGTAAAAAGTTAAAATTAATTATACCTAGAAAACCACGCGAAAAGAACATATGTTAGACGATCAAAGAAATAATCAAACTATTAAAATACAGTAAATAACGCGTTCCAAAGCGTAAAAATAAAAAATGGCAGTTGTGCGGAGGAATCCGATTTCACGTTTAATAGACGGTGATAAATTTGCGTTAGTTATTAATTGCAGGTGGTTCGGCACATTTATACACGATTTTTTCCATAAAATATATTGTTAAACATTTCTACTCAACGGCTTGTTTTTTTTAACGATCAACATTGAACACTGAAATCATCCCGGAAGGTATAAGATTAAACTTATCGAAATTTTCTTTTCGGAGAATTTAAATTTTAAAATATTGATATTAAAAGTACGTAATACCCAAATGCAATGTTGTTTCAGTTCGATAAAGTTTACGGCATACATAGCCAATTTGCTACCAGCAGACACAACTTTGTGCTGTTAGTTTTACTATATCAAAGAGAAAATATTGATATTTTATTTGATATATGAATTGAATTGATTTGAATTTGGTATTTGAATTGACCTTGTAACAAACTTAAAGTTTAGTTTATAATCTGTGAAACTGCATCGAGTTTTAAGCAAGATATTTTTAAACGATAATATTTTTCATACTTGTATCTCACATTAAAAAAAAAAAAAAAAAAAACCCGTGTAGTAGCACAGCTAATGATTTTTACATTAAATTTGACAATGAGTCAATTCACTGTAATATAAATACTAATAATATCCTTGTTTTTCTTCACTTTGATATATTTCATTGGGAAACTTCAATAGACGCATATTATTAGTTTTATTTGGATGTTTCCGAATAAAACTTGATTCATTTTGAGAGATGCTTTATCATCATTATATATGTCCGGAACCTATTTTATTTATTTTATTTATTTTATTCACCAGCTAATATTCTTATCCGACACCGCGTAAAATAGTGTTGCGGTATGCATTCGATTATTCGATATACCGAAAGCCAATTAGCCAATTATATTGGCTTATACAGCAATAGCCAGTTGCGTTTCCAGCGCAGCACTCCGTACTTGAAAAACCATTTAATCGGTTATGTTAAGAGGATTGCGACCGCTGAAAAAAAGTGATATTCAGACCGAAAAGCTAGACAAAAAACGTTAGGTTTGGGTTTGGCGGATTTTGATTTTGATTGATTAACGAGTTTACTAGGTTTAGACGAGGGAAATTGTTAATATTCCAAAATTGAATTCAATCTTATGACGAACCGTGTAAACAAAAACAATACATTTTTATTCATCGATAACAGCTGAAAACAATAGATATATAAAATCGCCTTCGCCATAACCGCTATAGTGGACTTGTCAATCGATCAAAATCAGTTTTCGAAATTGAAATCCTTTAAACCAAATCCTTACATTTGTCTCGGGTCTACAACGTCATGCGTATATTATTCCGTAAAAACGGCCGTACCCTTTCCCCTTAATTGGGAATTGAGCAAACGACTATAACGAAAATGTCAGAATATGTCCCCCTCAAAGCAATAATAATGGATTATTGCAACCTGCAGTAAAGTATACGAAAGCATAAAAAAAAAAAAAAATTATAAGATTTTTTAAATTATTGGTATTAAACTAAAATAGGGTTTAAAATATACCTAACGGTTTCACTTTCAAATTTTCTTTCGCGCAACTATCTCGTTAAGGCCTCGCAGCAGTAGTATTTTCGGTAGGTACACTATTATAACGGTAATAATAATCATACATTTTGTACGAGAATATTATTACGGCGGAGACGATGCTATTCAGGCGAATATTATTATAATAACATCGTCGTCGTTATTGTTATTATTATTGCGAGTATTATTGTAATGTCGTCTGAGTCGTTTCGCTCGACGGTTTAACGTTAAAAGCGGACCATTTGGAGAGGCTCTCGAAATCGTTTTCGCGCGAATTATAAACTCCGAGTCGTGTCGCCGAGATTGAATATCCGCAGATCGGGCGGCGAAAAATGTAAAGAAAAGAAAAAGAAACCGAAACCCTAACGTTTTCATCAATCAAAGTCTCCGGTACGGTGGAGTGGGAGCTCGAAAACCAATCGTCCGAATTTTGCGATGACAAATGGAGGTGACGGACCGACGGCGTTTTCGTTAAGGATTGAATTTACAGCGAAAAAAAAACCTCACTGACTGCTGCTTGTGTCGCGTGGTCGTTGGCAGCGAAACGGAAGAGAAACGATTTTAATAAAAAAAAAAAAAAAAAAAACAATTCATCGCAAACAAAATACGCTTCCGAATGGATAATTTTTGGTACATTTGTACGAGATTTGTTCTGAGGATACCAAAAAGAACAATACTCGCGACCTCACGACCACTTGTATCGATTTTTCGAGCAATTGCACGCGGAAAAAAAATCAGTTATTAGATCACCACGAATAGAAAAAAAACTATTAGGTAACTCAAATTGAGGCAAAATATTTTGAAAACTATTGTATCTTGTCTAGAAAATGTTAATAATATATTATGTGTTCGTCAATCGGTGAATAAATTTCAGATTTTTATGATTATTTCTTACAAATTTACAACGTAAAAAAAATCGATTTTCGATAAAAACAGGTAACGAAGTTACTTAAAATATTCTTGTTTTTCCGTTCTTTTAATTTTTCAGATTTTCTCCGACATTACGTATGAAGTGTATGAGAGATTAAAAACAAAAACGAACTAGTATATTGCTGCCAGATGTGCCACTGTTGTAGGTGGGAAGTTAGGATGACCGCAAAGGATTATATCATATATATCTGCCTACAACGATAAGTCATTGTTAATGAATTACGATTCTGAGCGGAGTTTGCTTAATCACATATGTTTTTGAATGACACGATTATTGCAATTTTCGACAAAACGTTAGTTTAAAACAACGCTTAAAAAAAAAATACTATGTAACACACTTATGCACTACACTTTTTTATATTTTTTTACCATTAAGTACTACTTAAGACGATTCTCGTGCTAAATTTTCAATGGTTTTAACACGGCCGATACACTTTTATCCACAAAAAACCAAACGAAAACTTTGAAAATTCGAAAATTACAATTGCCGAAAAATGGCGCAAAAGTCGACAGGATGCATTTGAAATTTTATCACGTATTGCTGATGTAAGTATTCTGTGAAAATTTCAGTTTTCTTTTTAACCAAATCACAAAAAATAATAATCATAATACGAATTATCGAAAATAACCGTTATCGCGTAAATTTCTCCGTTTTCCCAATTATTAAGAAAACTGCAAGAACAATCATAGGGAAAATATCACTTCTCGACCGCCCAACTATACGGGTACAATTTTCTTTCGGAGAAGTAGCCGCGGTCGTAAATTCAAGCAAGACGAAGAAAAGTGTCGTTAACAGACACGAAATGAAAAAAAAAAAACGCACACAAATCAGATATAGGTATACCTGATACATTGTAATATAGTATGGCCGATAAATTAATTCCTCATCGTGTCGGGAATCTAAAAAAAAAATAACCTCGAAAACGCGCCGCAATAAATTATTGTTAGCATATAGATCCGAAATTCTACCGTAATTTGAGGACGCTCTTACGAAGTTTTCGTTCGAAGAGCGACTACACGCGGGTGTGTATAAATACGATAGTCTCATCCGGTCCGAATCGTGTAAACGCCGGCCCGACAATAATAAACAAAATAAAAAGAAAAAGAAAAAAAGGCGCACGCATTCGTAAAGTAATGAAAAATATTACACTGTACACAGAAAAACCCAATACTATACCATAGCAATATACGCGTGATGTTCCCCGTTCGGAAATCGAAAACACCCCGCGCGTCTACGCGGCCGATCGTCGTCGGCGGTACACGGGCGAAATAATATTAAAAGAAAAAAAAAAAAAAAAAAAAAAAAAAAAAAAAAAAAAGAAAAAAACGACGGCGACGGCGAGTCGGGAATCCGACACGAAACAGTCCGTCGAGAGCCCCGAACGCTACGCGCCGCGTGTCGAGAGATTTACGCGGCGGCGACGACGCCGGTAAACGCGTCGCGGACGCGCGCGCGCGCGCGCGCCCGCTCTCTTTCTCGATCTTACCGGGCTGCCGGGGTCGTTGCTGCCGCTGTCCGTGTTGCCGTGTTGCTGCCGGAGCCGACGACAGACGAAAACCGATACCCTGCACCGTCCGATCGGACGCGTTTCACGTTGCGTGTTGGCAGGTATCGCACGGCGGAACGGCTGCACGACAAACGCCCGCGGACGCGCGTTACGTTATGACGGGATACCGTTGGACGATTGATTTTTTTTATTTTTTTTTTCTTCACACTTTTTTTTCCTATCGCGCTGTGGCCGCACACGGGTAACGCGTAACGCGTAATACGATAGCGACGCGGCGACAACAACAACAACAACAATAATATTAACGACACGATAACTCGTACGGTATGATAACGATAAAAATAATCGCGGATATTGCGAGGCCGGACGCGCTACTGCGTGCCGCGACGTCATTCCATCGCGCGCGCGATCCCTCCGCCGCCGGCCCTGGGCCGGGGCGACGTTCTAAACTTAGCGGCCGCAGCCCGCGCGCCGATACCGACCGACGGCTCGCCGCTGCCCGGTCCGCCCGCCGTTCCTGTTTCTATTATTATTTCCCTCGTCACCGCCGGCTGCCGCTGCAGGTGGCCGTCGTCGCCTACGCGCCGACTCCGCGCCGGCTAAATTTTAATGACGGTAATGAGAAAAAAAAAAAAATAGAAAAAATAAAAAGCCGATGGGTGTGCCACTGTTTTGGGAGGTACGTCGGAGCGCACCACGGTAGAGCGATTCAATCGCGATGTCAGCGAGCAACGAGACACGCCGATGTCAACGAAATACGATTCTGAACGACGTTTCGAAACGCTATAGAAACAAACGAAACCTACCGCATTACGCTCGATTCTATAAACGAATAAATCATTATTATTATTTTTTTTTTTTTTTCGACCGCCAAGTCAATAGCTTATATAACGAACCTCGAATTAAATGTTTAACAACGTTATAACAACTCGAAAACCGATGATTTTATCTCGTTTAGTAAAGGGGAACGCAAGCATTCTGTGAAGATTTCAGCACTCCGCGGAAATTGTTAACCAATTCGCAGCATAAAGACCAAAATCGAAAATAACGAAACCGTAAACTTTCCCGTATTCCCTACGTTTTCCCCAATTGTTATATGCATGTTAGGTTAGGTTAATCTCTCAACATACCGACTAAATGCAAAGTGCAACGACAAGGTTCCCTATCATTTTCTGATCGGAGCAAGATTGCTGGTAGATAATTTACTCTCTGCAGATAAAAAAAAAAAAAATATACAAGAACAACAGGAAAACCAATACATTATTCGTTCCGCTCGAAATCTAAAAAAGACTGATATTTCTGATGGGTATGCCACTGTTTTAGGAGGAAATTTGGAAGGGAGGATGTATAGGGAAATTGAATTCATCTCTGTGGGGAACGATAAACCATTGCTAACGAAAAACGATTCTGAGCAGAATATTATTAGCTATATTTGTATATTTTTGTAGAGTTACGTGTTTGTAACTATTTTCAAATATATATGTTTTACGTATATTTAGCAGTTTTAAAAAATATTTTGAAATTTATAGTAATCATAATAATAGGCGACAATTAACATTCGATCATTTAAAAGAAATAATATAATCAATCGATACAACACTACACAACTTGAGTAAGAAACTACCTAAAGGTTTGGTCAGTTACCAAAAGTTTTCATTCGTAATACTATATTTATTTTGTATCCATATTTTCTACAATTACATATTTATTGTGTCTTCCGTAAATTTATTATACTCGCACTAAAAATGTTTTCACCCCCTTATTTTATAAATTGTACTTTCGTATTTAGCTGCATATTTGTGTATTTTAATTCCATATAAATCCGTTCCCTATAATATATTCCGATATATTATACAATTTCGATTTTTTAAAAATAACTTGGTAGTAGTCGGTACAGTATATGTTATTATTATTATGAAGTGTGCACTGTATATAATTAGCTGCGGGTCGCGACTGCACTCGTAAGGGTTATTTTTTTATGCGTTTTAAATTATTATGCGAGCGGGTATTTCGCTACCCAAATAATAATAATAATATGTTATGCATTTTTATTTTATTTTTTTTTTTTTTTTTTTATGAGAGACTTCCCGCTGCGCTATATTATGTTGACAGAAATAAAACGAGGGACGGATTTCATAAAAATGTTACACTCGGTATAAATACGCGTATTGCGTATCGCGTATTGTGACCGTGCATAATAATAAAATACATTTTATCCCGACGAAAAATTATAGAATAACGAACACGAATAATTCACGCGAAATAACACAGTCGCGGCGGCCGAGTGTCAGTTATTGATATGATATACGCTATCAGTGGCGTAACCCAGGATTACTCAATGGAGAGGGCCGGTAAAAACAACAAACAAACCCGAAATTCCGCGTTCGTTCCCTTTATTATTACACACTCAAAAATATACTGTACTGACTCGATAAAGTACGAAAATATAAACCGCACACGCCATAATAAGGTAACATACACACGAACCAACTATATACGTATAACAGAATTTATGTACTTACAAAAAAAAAAAAACAACTGCCAACAGAGGGGACCATTGCCCACCGTAGCCCATCCTTGACTACGTCACTGTACGTTATATTATAGTACCGGAGTGTTTATACGAAATATAAATAGGTTTACAACCGGCACCCCGGTAAGGGCTGTCCTTGGAATTCGCGTTGTTCGGAGCGAAATTTCGAATATTTTCAATTTTTTTTTTATTATACATTATAATTCGCGGTTTTTTTTTCGAACGCGAGGCCCAGAGTCTGATCCCCGCCCGCTCCCCCTTAAACACCACCCTATCTGTGGTAACCACACGGCCGGCTACGTAGTGTTTAGAGTGGTTTTTTTTTCCACGACGCGTCCGTCGAAATGTATTTCGGAAACGTATAAACAAAATCGTCGTCTTCGTTGTTGCGGTCGCCGTCAGCGGTGGTGACTATAAATACACGAGAGCTAAAAGAACACGGCCGCCGCACTCGTAAAAACGAATAATAATAATAAAACACCAGAATCAGCCGGAAAGGACATTCCTAGCGGCGATATCCTTGCAAGCTTGAAACTATACAAAACGGGAAACGTAGTTATGGCTTACGAGACGTTCCTGATATATTGCAGGGCCCCAGTATTGTATACTAAACATTTTGTACCGATATCGGACATTACGTTCACAAGGAATCCGTCCTTTTCAAATAAGGCGATTTACATAGAAACGAATAATATTCCCGATTTTCATTTTTGTGGATCCTTTTTGTGTACACAATGAACACATATCAATATGAATATTAATATGTGAATGTTGTGCGCTGTTTGCGGATACAGATGATATAAACAAAACGGGAACATTTAGTCGAGTCTCCTGTCACTCAATGTGCTAAACTTTTGGACGTATAGATGGAGATTTTAGTATACGTCTAGTAATCGTTCGTATCGTAAAGATGCTATACAAAATTATGTGTTTTTTTTTTTTTTGCGTAGGAGGAAGGAGAGGGAGGTTTCAGCGCGGAACAATGTCGAAATGGCATTCGAATCGACATTCGACATTAGCAAAATGTTACCTGATCGGCGGAATGTGCTGCGATTTGTTCGTGTTCGTCGCCGGCCGTCCGGTCCTTTTCGGGCTCGGGCTGTTGAGGTCGATCATCGTCTTCGGCCTCGTCGTCTTCCTCGACAACCGTCTCGAGCAACAGCGTCTCCGACGTCACGGTTGGGTCTATCGGTTCTTCGACGGCAGGCAGTTCGTCAATCCCACTGAACTCGCCACAACTGTCTTCGTCTTCCTGTAAAAAAAAAAAAAAAAACCGATAGGCAACTCATTGAGAAAATAATTATTATTTTGGAACGAAACTACATTTATTGGTTATGCGAAAAGAGGGTGTACGGACTTTCGGCATGACCGGGATCTGTTCTTTGCAGGGCGACGGGAAGTGGCCACGAGCCACAAATTATACTTTATGCCCCTAAACCAATTTATTTGAAAATAAACATCAAAATGCAGTCTAATATATTGAATTTTGATGTCTGTCATCAAATAAATCGATACCTAATATGTACATACTAACTTAGTGATTCTATAATAGTGAATCGGCGACTATTCACTATGGATTTGAGTCAATTCGATATTGGTTTGTTTTTTTTTCTTCTAACATATTGTAGCACAATTTAAAATATTTTCGACATTTTACCCTTATTTTTCGTACACCATCATTGTATAGATTACATTTCAATCGTATTTTAATATTCTGAATATTCTATCCCAGTGATGACCAAAATTTTTTTTTACAGAGGGCCATAAAAGTAACAATATTCGGCGGGCCAAGAATTAAAACTTTCACTTTTATGTTAATAGAATATTATATTTTATTGTAGGTACTTTTTACTATAGGTACAGTGGTGTATTTAATTATTTACTATGTACTGATTGTTATAAATGAGAAAAAAACGTAAAGTATAAATATATCTTTTTTTTAATGTGAGCGTTAATTTTTGAAATTTGAAGTTATTTCTTTTTTCAATTTTGGATCGATTAATAAATGACCGCGATCGTCACTGGTCTAACCTATATTTTTAAACTCTGATTCGAAAATCTACGATTTTAAATATCGGTTAAACTCATAAACGGAACGGAATATAACCGAGTTGGAATCAATGTTTTATGCATTGAAACGTAAATGTTTCTTGACAAATATTCTCTTTTCGAATGATAGTTTAAGGTTTAAATGTCTGTTGCTTTTCGAATATCAAAAATCGATATGTGCTCACGATTGTATGCGGAACAATTAGGATCAGAACGATTAAACGATTATGATTAATGATTCGGGAAAGAAAACCGAAATCAAATTTAGTCATAATATTAGTATAGATATAATTGCTGGTTAATGATAACAGAATCACATCATCTATAGAAGCGAAAGCACGTGCTTTTTGATCTGGGGTTTTAACATTTATTAAAAAATGTGTCGCGGATCAAAAGTCGGGAACTCTTGATCTATAATAAAAATAATAATCGTAATAGTAATAATAATAAAACAATCGTAATAACAAAATGTGTGCACGCGTCTATGGCGATCTTTCGGTTTTAAGTACACATAGGGCATTTGGTGCTGCTGAGGGGATGTTTCGGGGGCAAATTCGGTTATTTGCTCGTTTTCGATTATTGCACGTGACCAACTTTTACGAGAGTGTTTGCTCTAAACGATGGCGTTTTACGATTTAAAAATATAGTATTTATTACGGTTTCTTTATCTACGGATTTTTTTTTTTCCATTGCTATTAACGGCAAATGGCCGCGGTCGTAAAAATAATAAAACCCTCGTAACACCGCGGGGTATATATGCGGCTCTAAAAAACTACATTTTTATCTTTTATTAAAGCTGGACAATTAATAAAAAAAAAAAAAAAAAACCTATTACATTTATTTCAAATATAATAATATTCGTTTACTTTTCGTCAATTTTTAAATTATTAATTTGTTAATAATATAACGTATAGGCAGCAAATATGATAAAACGACTATAGAATATAAAATCTTTTTTTAACGATATATTCATCTATGCGTTCATCCGAAAGTAATTCGTGTAATAAAATAAACGGTTTATATTGCAGTTTTATATTTATTGTGTAGCTATTAAAGTCTATACTTGGTGTAGCGTCTTTTAGACTACTCGGCTATTTATATTTTCTAAATTATCCACCGACCGCCGATACAAACTTAAACCGTTAGATAGCGCATGCATAATATATTATGCACGTTATTGATTAACTGATCACTGCTGCAATAGCCTACCAGCGCGTCTAAATATTTTTATTTTAAAATAATAAACACTCGTGAACAAAAGCGTTAGGTTATGATAATGTCTTACGTGAACCGTAATGCAACCGTGCAAAACAACAAATTTAAACAGTCGTTTACTATACATATTCAACTGTAGGGATGAAAAATGTATTTTTCCAAGACCCTATCGTGAGTACGAGGAATCGTTGGAAAAATGTTTAAAACGCATAAAAAGGTTATTGTGTGACATTTTTTTTTTTTTTTTTTTCTGTACAGATAAATATTTCGCGCGATATAATAATTTCTCAAAGTCGATAATGATAACAATATTGATCCCCTGATTGGAAGTTTTGAAAAATATCAAGAAATTTTAGCATTTCATAAACACTTCCAACGATAATCATTTTGAACAAAATACATTAACCGGGTCTGTCAATAATTAACAAAATAATATGTTAACATAAATACAGGGAGTGTCTACAGGATTTAACAAATTTCTATATATATATATATATATAGACAGAAAATGTTCAAATCCTGAAAATATATTCTATATATGTATAATGTATACGTGTTTTACTATATATCATTCTGATCGATTCAAAGATGAAAAAAAAAACGTGTATACAACACACTTGGCTGGTTTCTACTATTGCAATGCAGTTGAGTTTAACTTGGCTTTTAAATTTTGATGTATGTATTAAGTGTCTTGAATTTCTACTTGACTTTTTTCAACTGTCTACTTAATAAATATAATAACTATTCTATATCTTTACTCTAAATGAGAAGAGCGTGTTTTAAATTATTCAATTTATTTTCTAAAATCACTCACCTACTCTATAGGTTCAATCGTTACTGTATTCTATTTTTAAATTAATTTTAATTGGCGCGTTCATTTAATTAAGGCGAGACAGAAGAAGAAGTTTCGATATTAAAACAGTTTCCTTCGTGTATACTCAGAGAGTAAATTACCGTACGCGGCCCGAGTCAACGTGACGGAAAATACAAAATATCATGTGTTTATTAAGTAATAGGTACCTATTTAAAAAACAATCTTTATACAATCGATGAATTGAACGGCCACGCGATATGTTTAAAATAAAAATAATGAAAACAAATAATAAAAAGAACAGAAACAGAAAAAAAAAAAAAAAAATTAAAGGATGCTAAAATTAGGCCCTTTTGACTATACTATATATTTGTTAACTTTAATCGCAATGTAGTTAATTTTATGAGTAGTAAAAACAAACACGGACGAAATAAATATTGATTTTTGTTTGTTCAACGAATTATATACATGTTGTATGTATAGTTGGTATTGATCCATATCTATATTTAAAACTGTGAATCAATAGTTTTATTTACACGATTTGATAGTTTTCTTTTTTTCGGGGGTTTTTTTTTTTTTTTTATCGCGTAAAAAAAAAAAACATCATATAAACGATTATAAATGAAATAATTTATTATTCTTAAGTATAAGTGAAAATCATTATATTTTTCAGGCAAACATTTTTTGTTATTTTTTTTCAGATTTATTCGTCATAATCTTTATAACAACCGGTAAAAAATTATTTCCGTCTACGCTATATCATTTTAACATTTTGAACCCTATCGTAGTCACTATAAATAATTATAAAATAATGTTTTTAAATTCTGAGCGAAGCGAGACAAGTAATGATTTTTTTATGTATGTGTGTGTGTGTGTATTTGTGTTTATGTATATATATGTGTACTGTAAACAACTTTATTACTAGAAATATTGCTCCAATCGAAAACTTTTAGGAACTTTCTCGCAAATCAATATAAATGTATTGAGAAAGTCATTTTAGATTCTGAGTTTAGCGAAGAATATATTGGTTTTACAAAGATGTAAATTTAATTATATTTTTTTTTTTTATATGAACACTACCAGAAAGCTTACTCCGATTATCAATTAAAGCACTTTTTCTGAAATGAAATATTCTCTGAGTGGTACTTCAGAGAAGTCATTTTTTGATTTTAGCACTTTTTATTAATATTCGAGATAATGAGGAAAACATGGTTCTTCAAGTTAAAAAAGATTGAAAGATAAAAAATAAGATTATCATTGGCAACTGTTTTTATCTATTTATTGTTATTATTAAGTTTTTATTTTAATGTTTTTTAAACAATCATGGTTGTCATGAAAACGCACATTGTAATCAATTTACAATAATATGACATATATATTGTTGACAAAGCAAAATTATTAACTGAACTCCGCTCAGAATCGAATTTTCGTTAGCAGTGGTTTATCGTTACTTACAGATACACATTCAATTTATATCTCACTCACGTGCGAAGTATATCCGTTCTTTTTTTAATTTTTTATATTATAGTTTTTTTTTTTTTAATAGATGGGCATAACTAGCAATTGGTTGTATATTTTTTAATGATTTCTGGAATGCCTTAGCGAAAAGGAAAAATATTCCACTACTAATATTCTTTTCTCAGAATCATTTTTTGGAAGCAATAGTTTATCATTGCGTAGAGATGAAAATGTATTTACTCTGTATAATGTCCTCCCTTTCATCTTCCCTCCAAAAACAGTGATACACCCATCAGCAGTATTAGCATTTTTTTAAAATAAAATATTATAAAATATTTATAGAAGTTTTTAGGTAATCCTAATTAACAATATTTTATTACAGTTTTTTCCGCCAGGATAATAGTAAAATATTTGTCGATCGATAGTAAAGTAATTAATTTAACGACATAATTAATTAAATGTAATAGGTAATTAAAATAAAACATTTTATGATTGGATATTATTGTTGAATATACTATCTAATTATTATGGTTTTGACCTCGGCATTTTATTTGAATGTAATATTGCATAACATTTATTTTAAATATTACGAAATGTTCGTATTTTTTATCGGTAGAATTAATTTCCAGTATATGTAATTATTGATATTCTACACAAACCAATCAATTTTTTCAGGTTAATTTCATTTTTCGTTGTTAATAATTCGATCTCAAATAGTTTATTTACCAAAAGCCATATCGTTTTTACGACATAATAATATTTTAGTGACCGTAGTTCAAGTCTGAAAATTTAAATGAGATGTACAAACTAAAACTTACCTACAACATAACATAGTAAATCGTATGCACCCTTCCAAGAATTCTTGCTTAGTCCGAAATCATCATACAAGACTACAAACACCATCGGGCACCAGGGCGGCTCCAGAGATTTGGTAGGGGAGGTGGGGCTAAGTCATATTTTTCAGAAAATTATATTACAAAAAGCATATTATTTATATTTTAAGGTTAATTTATTCTTCATAGTATAGACAGTAGATACCTCTAACTACACACTTGTAACGTGCAGCTCTTGGGCCCACGCTGAATCTGTCTTTGCCAAGCACCAAGACTTACACACGCTTGATTCAAATTAAGATTTACATGTTTAATAGATAAGTTTAAGAATTTTAACGGAGCGTATTAAAATATTTTCGTCAATTTTTAGTAAATTTTCGCTTTATTATGATCATTGGTTCATTAGCTCAATGAAAATTAAAAACATAAAATTATGTTCACTAATTTACACCGAAAGGCGGCAACAATATAAACTGTTGATACGAAATCCCAACACGAACGCTGATAAAACCGTTAAATTAAAATATATAATTATTACTATTATTATTTTTTAATCGATATAACACTTTAATACATATCGCGATAAGTATTAGATAGACAAATAGAACTAAAAAAAAGATTTTTCTATTTTTTTTTTTATTATTTTTTTTTTCTGGTACGTCGTTTGTTTGTTTAGCTTATTTTGATTCCCATTTGTTTCGATTATCGTGATCTTTACGACTATATGATAATATATGTTTTAAAATGACAAATTATATTATATAATATAGTAAACAACACAACTGCAGCAATAAAAAAAAATATAACGTGTAAATAACACGATCTCGAAAGATGCGTAAAACTGTTTATACATTTAAAATTTTAATAAATCATTTCTTCGTTGAAACTTCGAACAATCCTACACTAATGTTTTTATCAAGAGACAAGTTTAGTACATATTTTATTGCGTGACGGCCCCGAGCAAAGTTTCAGTGACGAGAACGAGTTAACATTTATTTGATTATCGCGTAGTGTTCGCTCTGGAGACCTTATAACGCACACGTATCGTGCGTAATGAATTTAATATCAATTACGACCAGGTGTTATTATATTTTGTTTAGGATGCCCTGTCTGCGACGCCCTGTGATCCATAATTAAATTCAACGGCTGCGGAAAAACGGCTTGTTCGCTACTAATGTTGTTGAAGACGCGTGTTGGTGTACCGGGCGACCGAGTACGGGCGATTGACCGCTCGACTTAAGGGATTGTTTACGGAACAACGGCCTCGCCCGACTGTCGGCTACACATTACACTACGCATCGCAATACTTATACACACAAATTTATACGTACGGAAATGTGCTCAGGTGCCGTTCGTCAAGTCGGATGTCCGGTGGCTGCGTACGCGAGACGTATGCGCGTATACGGGCGACAGATTCCCGACCTAACCGACAACATAATGTTTCGTACGGAATATTTTTATTTATTATTTTCCGTTAATATTTATGTTCCGTTTATAATTTCAAATATTACGCGGTGTAAACACCAAGAGGACGTTATGCCCGCGATCTGCCGTACCAATCGAACTACCGGGTAACGTGCGATAAAAACGCTCGCGCAAAATAAGTGTAACCAGCTTGATTTTGATTTTAGAGTGAAAGTTATGGAGTTATGAAATGTATAGAGAAAATCGTTTCGGAGGGGATGTCACAGAGTTATTGTAGTATTCAAAATATACAGTTCGATATAATAGATACAAAAACCTTCTATTTTTTTTTTTGTGACTGTAACTTTTTTAACGGTTCATAATTCAAAAAAAACTTATGGCATTCGCTCCAAAATATTTTTTTCTAGAAGTTTCGTAATAATAGGTATTTTACTCTAAAATCAAAATTAAGCTAGTTTTACTTATTCCGCGTAAGCATGTTATTTTTGCATGTTACCCGGTAGGTGGACCGAGACAGTAGATACGGATATCTGCAATTTTCTAAAATTTGAAAAATATTTTTCACCTCTCAATAACTACCTTAGCGATATTTTTAATGGCACTTCTTAATGACTTTTCTACTAATTCACTGCCCGGTACCCATCAAGGGGAAACTTTTACTTTATTTAGGATCGTAATACGCATAGATATAGGTCTGACAAAGGTTTTGGTACATACAAGAGTTCGATTTTAAAAATGAAAATATATTTGATATCACAAAAACAAATTTACTTTGCATCGGTCAGACCAAGTTTTTAAAATGTATTCAATTATTTACCAGAATAAAACGTTTTTAATTTGAATATATTTGCAATACTCAATAGTAAATAATTAAATACAAAATGTCAATATGCAAAATATGCCGATGCAATGTAAACCGGTTTATAAACTTATTTACATTTATATCACGTATAAAACATAATATCTTTACAGTATTTCAAAATAGTATCACAAGGAACACCTCAGTTTTATCAGGTGTTTGGATCTTTTTGACGGGAATTTAATCGCACAATTAATTCAATAGTGTCAGTTGTTTTCAAAGTGATATACGTCGATATTATTTTATGTTAACGTATTCAAATTAAATTATTTCGCAAAAATTTTGTTAATATAAAAATTAGTGTTTCTATAATTACCTCTTCGTTTTCCGATTGTTCTCGGCTTTTTACATAATTTTCCAATCTCTCGTATTCTTCTCTCAAATTCCATATCTCTCTCTTGAGCTGTTCGTTTTCCCTCCGTAATTTCTTTATATAATTTTGGCCTGAAACGAGTTATCAACATAATATTATAAACAATATTAATAATAAATTATTATCATCTGGTAATATTTTTCCTAATTATTTTTGTTTTTAGAGATGAGCAAAATCACCTACGTCCTACACGATTACCTAATACAATATAAACTACCCACGAAATATCTCGGCTGTCTTAGACTGGTTTTTTTTTTTTTTAGGAGGATCGGGGTTATCAAAACATACATTTTGAGATTATTTACAAAATTTAAACGACTTAATAAGTTAAGAAATTCGATAATTTTATTGGAAAATACAATATAGGTTATAGGTATACATAATTTACTTATAAGTATAGATAATCGTTAAATTACGGTTAGGTTATATTAGGTTAAATTAGGTATAGGTTCATTAATAATGGTTGGGATGTTTATATTTATATTAAACTTACAGCTATATAAGACATTGATTTTACAATTTTTTTTACCTTGTGTAAACTTTATTTCGTCTATTTACTTTTACAATAAAAACCTGGGGGGGATTACTCAAATGTTAAGCAATAACGTCTACCAAAAAAACCAGCTGTTATGTTGCGTTTCCGGTCGATTCGAATGGCAGCATCCCACACGTGCGAGAAACTTTTTCTTTACACTCGATTGACTTTTTTTTTATTTTTTTCTTAAAAAACATATTTTATACTATTTTCTGACGTTTATTTTACGAAATGCGTTGTTTCGCATCAAAAGAAAGTACGAGCGTAAATAATACAAATAATAATAACATTTTCAGAAAGTTATAATAAATTGTTCGGGTCATTATATACGCCGGCTATATACCTCCTACTTATGCGTGTAAAAGTGTAAAATATTTATATTATTTAAATCAAAATGTTAATTTATTTCGCACGAGCGGTTTAACGTGATTTACGGTAATTTTATGAAATTTGGTTATTTGTTCTCGAATTATACGTTCCGTTCAAAATGTATGTGACAATATTGTATCTCATGTATTATATACAAAATAATATAATATCAAATATAACGGGAATAATAATGAGACTATATGGTAAATCCTATGCCGTAAAAATTGTCGAAATTCTATTCCGACGAAAGCTATCAAATCTATATACGCTCGTATAAAAGAATAGACCGACATATCAACGTGTGAGTACAGCCCAAACCGCTGGGTGTAGGTAATTTAAATTTCGTCGGAGGTTAGGTTAGCTCAGGTTACACGACATAGGAGACAACTAAATCAAAGTCGTTTTTTTTTTTTTTTTTTAAATTCTACTCCTAAGGCGTTGAAAAGTTAAATGCGTTTAATAATCCAAATTTCGTATTTTCGACTATTATTCTAAATAAGAATAGCCGGGCTGTTACTATTCCTGACTGTCGGGAATATATTGACATTTTATTTACATCAAAAACAGATATAACTTTTTTTATCTTTCATACGCCCCGCCGTAGAGAAGTCGTTATAAAAGCGTATACGTGGATGAACCGACGGAATATAATGCGACTATGCATGAAATTAATTAATTTTCTCTTTATTCTCATATATTCGTTTATACAAAACATAATTATTACCATGTAATTCGGTTAACCTATCGCGGCATTTCGTTTTTGATATTCGGCATTTCCTGCGTGTAAATGGATTAAAGTTAAACGAAATATCAATTATATTACTACAGACTGCACTGCAGAATACAACAAACCGCACGCGGTGTATGTCCACTCAACGTTTAAAATGTTTTAAAATTCAATTTTGGACCAAATTAATTAAAATAATCACTTCGTGGTTCGTGGCTGTATGTTTAAATGAATGACATGTTTTTTTCAAACTTTAATACAAACATAGGTAAACACACTCAAAATAATATTCGTTCTGAACGAAGAAAAATGGCAATTTCATATTCGTACTAATACTTAATGATCAATCATTAGACGTGTTATGTTCGTAAATTTGTTTGGCTTTATATTATTATAGTAGTATGTGTTCTGTTAAACAAGAAGATATTATTAACCGGGCAACTGACATAAAATTTCCTAAGAAAATGATGTCCGTAAAATATATTAACGGGAGATTTTCTCAAATATCTCAACGATCGGTTAATATTATTCTGACATGAACATGTTCAACAATTATTGTTAATGTAGTCTATCTCGTGTGTTTGACGATACATCATAACATAACAAAATAATACGTGTCATTATAAATATTATACATATACACAGAATATAACAGGACTAACTTCTTTCCTATCGAATATTTTTAAAAAATTGGTGCATTATTTAAATATCATTTAGTCAAGAATTCAAAATAAAAATGGAAAACTATATATAAATTTTTTTTAAAAAAAAATTCGAGATAGCCATTTATTAAATCCGATTTTTCGAAAAATTTTAGTGTCAGAAACTTTTACTGAAGTTGAGTCAATTATGTTTAAACAATTTTTAAAGTTCTGTGAAATATTACATTTTTTGTGTACCTTAATTTGCAAATGGTTAATTTGATTTTACCATAAATTCATGTACAATTTGATAATATCCTTATTATATTAATTTAAGTTATGAGTCTGATGAACTTCTTAGAAAAAAATAAGTATATCCCAATCATAGTCATATAAAACAACTAAATAGCCGACTACTGTACAATAGGTATACAATGTTTTGAGGTTGTTACCGCCATTAGCCTAAACGACAATGTTTATATTTTTATGCGACACCGCTTATTGATAATGAGGATTAAATGTTTTGACCCGCCGACCGCTGTAGTTAACTGTTTTTTTTTTTTTTATTTTGAAATTAAAAATTTAACTACCTAGTACCTATAAGCTATAATTTTATTAATTGGTTTATTCGTGTAATGTTGTGTATGGTTGTTATAATATCCAAATCAAATACAATACAATGAGTGGTGTACCCACAATTTGAGTATTATGTATCAGCCCACCTCACAAGGGTCAAACTGTGGACTGCTGTGAAGGTAATCAAATATTAAATCCAAAACCACTCGAGATTTACCAAAATCAGTAAATTGGTCGTACAAACATTTTAATTAATAATTTTACAAACTTACCTAAAAAGTAATAACAATTACTACTATGAATATTAGTATTAATTTCATTAAACTTTTTATTGTTTAATTGTTATTCAAATTTGAAATTTCAATTAGTTAATTTTTGTTCTTATCAAATAGCGTGAGGTATCATATAAAAATGTAAACATTGCCGCTTAGGTATATGCCAGATGGTTGTCTAGTTGTTTTATATGTTTATGACTTCAATAGCGCACTCTAACATATTATCATGGGTCAACGAATCGGTTTGAAAAAAATATTATTTTACACTCTGTATTAGGCAAAATTTCATAATAGTCTTTATCGTACAATTCGACGTGTGTAACTATTGTCGTGTGAGATGCGGACGGGTGAGAAATGGAGGATAGACGGAGATTTTTTGAATGTTTTGACGCAATAATAATTATTATTCTAAGCGGTTTGGACGTGAATATGTCACAGTGAGCGTGATGAATTTTTTGGCAAACGATCACACGGGTGTTCGCGGTTAACATCGAGAGTATCCGCCGCGCCGTAGCTGTTAATCCGTGCGAGCCAACGTTCATTTGGTCCATAATCGCGAGCGTGGTTCCGGTCGCGTATTAACGTTCCCAACGTGAAACCAGCCACATATTCAAACGGAATGCTCTAATTCGCCGGATTATCCGTTTTAAGTAGGCGCCTTTACGATTTTCAGCATACGACTTATCATGTGTTCTGATGACTCCTCAAAGGATTAACGCGACGTCCTTAATAATCAGTGTTGTTGGATTCGAACCCGACGACCAAATAGACAAAATTCTTTGCGCTTTTCTTTTCAGTTTTCATTCCGTACTTCATGTATAATATAAGCCTATTGTGGTTGTTCATCAATTGCGTTTTAGGTCTACACTTATGACACAGACTCCCTTGGCGCTTTACATTGTTTGGACCAGCAAGTAGGTTACGTTTTTCTATTTCTTATCTGCTTTATCTGACCCCGCGGTAGTTTTTCATTGACTAGCTGTAGTAGGGACTAGAGGTTTATACGAATAAATACGATTCTCCTCGAAATCAGTAAAGATTTTTCACATGCGGACTACGTCTTGTAAAGATATTATTATTATATTATGTTCAACTTAAACAGTTCACCGTGAACACGTTCCTTTGCATTAAGGTTTACGATTTCTCGTGTACTTAAATACACGGATACAAGTGTAATTATGAAACCCGTGTACTTAATAATAGACAAAGATAACATAGTATTATCTGGTCCGGTAAGTATTATCGGAATTCGAAAATTGGAAAAATAATGTGCCTTATCCCTGAACGTATTATTAAATACACAGGTCGCGTAAATACAAGTATACCCGTGCACACTGTACGTGCGTGTACTTTATATACTCGTAGGAAGCCTCACTTAGAATCATAATATTTTATATTATATTATATAATTTATTGCCTACAAAACTCTGAACTTTATACGACCCGAGGGGCAAAAGGGATGAACAAATCGGCCGTTTTTGTGAACGCGGGTTTTCGGCTAATTTTAATTTATTAAAACTGCTGGCAGAAGTACAATTTTTAACGACTAGGGTGTTTTAAATTAAAGCCTATGTAATTCTAAACAGCGTAAACGTTTATAAAAAAACAAAGCAAAACCTGTTACTTATTTGCCATTGTATTTTTTCCCTATAATTTAATTGAAACGTTTCATAATTGGACGCACTTGTTGAGTTGCGGAGAAAGACTTTGGAAGTTTGGACCATAAATCAAGTGTATCGTAAATACGGTTCAGCGTTAACGTTATATTAATGTAATTGATTAACCAATAGATTCGTAAATATATGCGTGTCGTATGGCGGTCAAAACGAAAATGAGTAAAATGAACAAAATTTCACACGGGAAACATCGTCGGGTACCATCTCCAGTAGCTAACCTCAAATTTGACGAAAAACTGATTCAGCCCTTCCCGTCTCTCGTGTTACTGTTATTATGAATATTTTTACGTGTGTACCTTTTTCGACCTCGGCGTTGATATTGATCGTGCGCAACCGGAGCTCCTCGTTCTCGTACAGCATTCCCCGGGACGCGCTCCTGTCCAGCGTCCGGTTCGGCTTGAGGGTGGCATCCCGGCGCCGGGACCGCAACATGGACGACGTGCCTGCAGGCGGAGCCATACCGCCGCCCAGCAAGCCGCCGAACACCGCATCGGCCAACCTCAAACAATCGCCGGGCGTCCGTCAAATTGCGTTCCTAAGAGAGGGGGGGGGGCAAAAAATCGTCGAAATTATTACGGTGCGATAGATATTACTGGATTTTCTCGTGGGCGCAAAATGATTTTTAAACCGAGTTTATGGCCGCCGACCACCGATGCGGTCGGTCGATTGCCTCGCCAGACTCCGTTCAAAAATCAACGTTTAGGTTGGCGAGAACGGCCCTTATTAGAGACGACCCGTAATTGTTATCCGTGTTTAATGGTAATAGGTTCGCGCGAAAACCTATCGTCACCCGGAGAACCCTGCGTTTGGAATCGTCCTCGGACCGATATATTCCGCGAGATTCGCGCGCACCGTCGTATTGTATTCCTTTCGATTTACTAAATATACTTACTGCATGCGCGACGTGTGACGCCTTTTTTGACAATGTCGTTGTAATTTTTTATTTATTTATTATTCTCGCGAAATCTCACAGTTTTGATCGGAATGTACCCGGCGAAAAATCGTACGCGCGCACAAAACACAAATAAGACCGATGAAATCGGAAAAATAAAACATTATAATACGAGCGTACACCCAAAATGTAAAAACGTCGCGGGGACAATAATGTGCGCGCACTTTGTACGACGACGCGCGACTATACGGATTTTCACACCGCGGTCTCTTTTCATCCGGACGGATCACGGCGGCGTTTGCCAGAAGCAAACACGTGCGGCGCGACGTACGATATCGAAAAATCCGTTAAACTTTATACGTGTGAAATAAACCGCCCGAGTATAAAATCTACCGGTCCCCCCCCCGCCATTACACGACCCGCACATTACGTGTTGTTTGTGTTGTTCACGAACGTGCGACACGGTCGTACAGTTACCGGCACGACAACGCGCTGTTTTTATAATATTTACAGTGAAATGACCTATCGGCCATCATTTACACATTGAGGCGTTTTTAAACCCGTGTTATTTTGAATAGATAAAAATTATTATTAATATTAATAAAAATATCTCGTATCTCGCTTAAATATTAAAAATATTGAATTAAAAAAAAATAAATAAAATCATCCGACGCGGTTGTACATTCAACGTTCCTATCGTTGAGTTCGACACTAAGACGATTCACTCTTGAAATTAACGGCACAAAAACAAAATTGGAAAACTATTCACAAAATATTTCGTTGTCAACTCACATGACGCGTATTACATTATTTATACTGTACGTGTTATAGACAATACGATTGTACGTTCAAACATTTTAAATGTGTGCACAGTTCCTTGAATTTTCTATGAAAACGACGTAAAAACAATCGTGTTCATCCCGAATGCGTTTATGTAGTGGTTAACACGAATTATATATTTTTGGAAACATAAACATTTTTTTTTATAGTTACGTTTTAGTGTTTACGTATTATTATACTTTTAAATTCTATGCGAACCGAGAAACGTATTTAGAAATGTAGTTTACTATATTGTATTGTGATACGAAATCGCGGTCGTTTCCTGTTTGCGAACTAATTGTTTACTGCAAGAAATCTCACGCATATCAAGAACACCGTCAGGATTGGTTTTCGACAGAACGTTTTGTCTAGTGCATCGGTGCATTGACGAGATCAATTAATTTAATTTTCTTTTGGAATCCTTTAGTTTTCTGAATAATGTGGAAAAACCAACAATATTTACGCGATAATATTATTATAAAGTTTCTGTTAATTTCGATTAGTTTTTGTTATTGTAGTCCATTGAAAAATAATCTTAACGGCCCGAAAATTTTCGCCAAATACTTATATTGGCACTTTATGTGTTAATCGTTTACATTTCAAAACGGGTATAGATGATTTTCAGTTTATCGTATAATTAAAAATCGCTATTATACTCACTAATATTCGTGCTCGATTTTACATAGTTTTACGTATCGTTGTACTACAGCGATATAATAATATGTTGTAGAACCTTCGAGCTGTGCCACGATCATAAATAAATCGACGAATAAATAAACGATTTTAATTTTAAATTCTCAAAAAGAACCAATATTTTTCTGAAATTCCTTAGTGTATATTTCCGCACGGTCTTATATCTACGTGCGTTAAAATAAATTTCGGAGTAACGGTCTGTTTATTATGATTATTTTAAGTTTGTATCGGTGAGTACAGAAAAAAAAAATGTAGGAAAATTACAATCTAAAAATAGATAAGAAATGCAACGTATCAAACTCAGTCAGTCAAAACTTACAATTTGTGTTATATTTTTTTAGAAACCACCGCCGTTCCGACATTGTATAGGTGTGAGTGTATGTACCTGCTGCATAATTTTCGGGAAAAAAATAAAATATTTTACAGTTTACAATATTACGAGATCTAATGACGCAAACAATAACTGCATACCAATTGCGTATATTTTTAACAATGTCTCGTTTCACTCGATTCGGCAATGAAAATAAATAATATGAAATCCGCTCCCAGGTATTGCGTCAACTGATAAAATCATTTCAAATATTGCTTTTATTGAGTACTGGAGGAAATCAAAAGAGAATAGTTAACTATAAATGGACGTCTTTCCGATCAAAATTCTTTCTGGCGGAATATGACACTGCAAGAAATATTAATTTAAATATCTGCAGTTATGTACTTGTAATCGGTAATACTTAAAGCCAAATTAAATGTGAACAAGAAACAGAAGGCCAGATAACACGGACAAATGCGAATATGACCAGAGGAAAAACCGTGTAGGTACACGTGTAACAAGCAAGCCTACTAGAAACAAGTTAGAATTTCTGAATAAATAACAAAATTTGAATGTTTTTAAAACGAATCCTAATCAAAAGAAAAAGTAACTAGGTGTAGTGTTGTTTTTCAGTTTTCGGCAGGTTTTTTTTTCAATTGTATCAATATTCTAAATCTGATAACAATGTTATGTTGTAATTTTATCTGTAATATTTAGATTATTATTTGTGTATCATACATTATATGTACACACCTAATAGTGTTCCTAGAAAGTTTTTTTTAATAGAACTCAGTATTAAGTATATCACACCAAAAACACATCGTTATAACTCGGTGTAAAAAAAATGACCTACAGAAGATTTACAGACTTTTAGAGGATGACAGATGGTAAAAACATACAAATATGGCACAATAGCAATAGTGTTTTATTCAATGTTCCTATAGTCGTGAAAAAAATGTAGGAACACGGAACAATTTATGGAAATAACGGGTTTGATTCGATTTGTTTTTTCTTGTAAATCGATTAAAAATTATCATTTATAAACCTAATTATATTAGCCTTTTCTGTTCGCGATGAAATGTTCAAAACATTCTGGAAATTTTTGAGCTATTTATATGTATTTGACTTTTCGTGTTTTTCGTTTTCATTCTGTTATAATATGTGAGTAAAATTGTTTTGGCTGAGCCAAAATGTTTGACAATTGAACACTAAGTTCATCATTAGTTGTTCTTTGTGGCAAAATAAAATTTAAACATAATTCAAATTTCCTCGAAATCGTAAAAATCATAACATGATATTTCAAAATAAGTTTAATCAAACTTCGGTCGTAATCATATTTCGTAATCATTTTATGATTTATCTTTACATATATAGATGAAGATTAAAAAAACTACATGTATCCTATGTTCCAAATTTCCTACCTACAACATTGACATATCCATCAACAGAATGAGCTATTTTTCATAATTTTTTTTTTTTTTTTACGTATTATCAAATAGCGCGAAAAACACGCATTACATTTATTTCTATCAGTTTGTTTTCGTTTTTTGTTTTTAACATTTTAAACATGTGCTATTTAACACATTGACTTTAATAATGTATACACTACACTCGTGTATAATATAGTTAATACAGCGTCAACAACCAGTCGTTTACACAGTCTATGTGTACTCTATTGTGTATTTGTATGTACCATTGTAGTCAGTATAAAATACGATCGACACGCTCTTTAAAATATATCCACAATATATAGGTAACTTTTTAAGTACTTATTACTAGCTTTTGAACGGCATGCTCGACGTGTTTTTTTAACGTTCGGAACGTTGCCAAACTTCTTTATTTTCGTATCAAAACGATTCCGTTCACTTGCGATTCACAGTTGGTCGATACGTATTTAATACAGTATACGTATATATAAGATGTATATACTCGATGATGCAATGATTAACTTTGAAAATTATGAGGCGAAAATTGACCAATCAAATTCTATAATTTTTATGAAGTTTTTTTTTTATGTATTTAATTGAGTATGGTTTTCGCACAATATTCGTTTTGGAAATCAATTTAGATGTGATCCGTGACATGTGCAGGGAGGAGGGGTAGAGATTATATCACCACATAAGTTTGAAAAAACAGCAACTCCGCGAATATTTAGAGTATTAATTTAGTTTTGAAATGTATATATTTCAACCTAATTACAAGGAAAATATTGAATTATTGATTAAGAATTTATTTTTGTGGATTCGGCTTTCAAGTGTCCGTGGCTAAGTTAGAGAAGAAGACACTACGTTTTATTCATAATTATTATTTACTAGATCCCTTCCAATTAAATATTAAATATAAAAATGACTGCTTCGGTTCTGGAATTAGAAAAAAAATTTAGCAAATTTTCGTTATAAATATATAAATCATCGTTCCGCGTAACAGATAAAATATGTTAATGTAATCCGAAGTAAAATATAGAGCAAACCGTATGGTAATTATTCTATTTCAAAATAACAGAATATTATTATAAAATAAGAGACTGAAGCATAACATCGTTATATTTCAACATTTGTTTCGATTAAAACGGATCGAATCTTATAAGTATTTCGTATCAACCGCCACTTTGGCGAAAAATTTAAATGTCTAAAACTTCAATTTTAAATATAGATAACAACTTGTGCAGTTACAGCGTATACGAATAAAGGCTGAATCTTCGTCATTTGCTATAATGTAATTCTGGATTCTTCAACGGTTAAATTAAATTAAAAGGTACCTACGCTAAAATAAACGGAATACGGACAGTATTAAAATATAGGGACTCCGTCCACGCGTAGTTCCCTCGCCTAATTGGAGCACTTTAAATTTCAGTATAACTTTAATCGAATAATTATAAATCCAATTGTTGGAAATATTTGCCAGTACAATATAATAAAACATAATTGTATTATTATCATCAAAATATAAACATGACAACGTTGTCGGACGGCAAAACATTATGACTGGTAACGTCGGCGTACACAGTCAGCAGTTCGGTCAGTGGCGTAGATGTCATAGAGCGAAGTGGGGAAGTGCCCCGGGGCCCCAGAGCTCAGGAAGCCCGGGGTCCTTGGACAATATTTTGAAATTACTTCCTTACAATAATTGCGATTAAAGATGACTTAAATAACTATTACGCGTGCATAATAAATTGGAAAATATAGCCTGCTAACAATATTATTATACTGCCGAGTCGAATATTATCAAACACGAATATGCTCGTATCAGTACCATCAGTCATCAGCACGGTTTAAGATATATCGGTTAATCGACGAATAGTGATAAATGCTTTTTTCGTAATCGACAAATTAAATCGCCAAATTAGTCATTGTGGAGCCGGCGATCCCGGTGTGTATTTTTTGAGCTATTTGTTATTAATATGTTCATCTCGTTGTTATCTATTACGATTTAAGATATTTGTAAAACCGTGTAATCTATAGTTGATTTATCAATTATACACAAATTGTATTAGTATATAATTTTCTCGCCCGGAGCTCCCACGATCAGTTCTGATACACGGTTCAGACAAATGGATTCAGTTTGACGATCGCCTTATCACATTTCGTCGTCTAACCGGTATATCTTAAACCATGGTCATCAGTGCCTAACGTTACTGATAATTATAATTAATATATAGTACAATGAACTGGATTTACTTTTTATTTGTGTATTTATTAATTGTCTGTTTATTATTTTCATATGCGGTTCCACAGTAAGTGTTTACCATCATAATTTATTTTATTATGTTTTTAATTTATTTATGATAATGTTATTATAGGTTGAGATTATTTTGTCTGATATGTTTATACATGTCTCGGTGTATTAATTATTTTCTATGTTAATTTAATTGTTCAACTTAACTTTATTATTTATCATTATTGAATTATTTATTATATCGTGTTCATATAAGATGCATATTGTCAATTTATTATTTTCGTAAATTTCCGTAAATAAATAAATTATTATTCACACTTGTAAAAACAATGTTACGTTTAGGGATATTTCGAATTTTGTTTCGAGATTGTTAGAGGGTCTAGTTTGTTTAACTACCCCGTGGCCCTTTCCCGTCTACCTATACGCCACCGCGTTCGACAGCACGTTATATGATTATTGTTATTATAATTATTATCGTAGTATTGTTTAGTTATGTCGTGTCACGAAAAATCGCAATTGGACAATGTATAATTCAACGTGCGCGTATTACTTTCGCGATTATTGCATTAAATAATCATGATGATAAAAGTAAAAAAAAAAAAAAAACCACTTCAACTATATTATTATTTAATAACATAGTACATATTATAAATATGTACGCGCGCAAATAACACGCCGCGTTTTGTATTCAATGCAACCGACGAATTTCCCTCCGGTGTCCATATTATCGTATTCTTGTAGCACTGGCACCTGGCAGGCGCGCGGTTTTTTTTCTTTCCTTTTATGAAAACCGAGCGATGTGCGTCGTAAAATGTCCCGGTAATTTCGCGTACCATTATATTCGAGATAACGTCTGGCCGCGGCGGCGCAAATAAGGGGACGCAAATTATCTCGCTCAACCCTATTTAATACGTGCGTCCGTCCATATGCGTACGGCCTACGTGTAGGTCACCTGTATGCAATTGCGGCCGCACGGCTGAAAGTGGTTTACGGCGTTTTATGAATATGCATCAGTCGAAATTGAAGAGGAACGCCCGAATGCGTCCGCAATTCCAGTTGCATATATTACGCGGCGCACAACGGTATACCGCGTACACTCGTAACGGTTTGTAACCGAGAAATTATGCTCGTATTGCTCGTTATAGGCTCGTTAAATTTTGTCCTCTTTTTTTTTTCTTTTTTTTTTCTTTTTTTTTTTTACGTATTTCGACCACGTTAAATTAATATGGCATATAAATTAACACTATCGGTTCACGCATTGTTCTCAAAATCTTTGCCGATTCGTAACAAATGACTCGCCATGTATATATTTGTGTTTACATAAATATTATATTTTCAAACTTTTACGCGTTTTATCAATGGAATATTCGTCGATTGACAACAGCGGTATCGTTTGATATCTGGAACTTAATTCCACAACGCCAATTAATTCGGCGAATTATACAAAGTATTATTACGTTTTGAATGTTTCGTTTTAAAAAACGCTCAATAATCCAAACAAAAATGCAGTATAAAGATTGTTTAATAAATAAAGATGATATACAGAATTCGTTGGCAGAAATTTTATTTCGAAATGAAAAAGCACAATGTCAGCGTTTTTTTTTTTTTTTTTTTACGTTTCCTAATAAAATCTCGGAAACATGACATATTGTACGAATTTGTGTTATGAATAGGAGACGACGGCTGGAATAAGAAATTTTTTTTTTGTATATCTTGGCAATGTGGCATATTATTATTATTTTTATAATGTTGTAGATATTGTCGGCTTTTCAAAAAAAAAAAAAAAATTAAATCCACGAACGTTATGCATTTCAATAGCATAATACTATACATGCAGGTACATAATATTTTTTCTAATAATATATAAACGTATTAATATACGACGCGGTACTAAAGTCGAACGAGAAAAGAAATGATGTAGGTATATAACATTATCAAAATCTACTCGGCTGTTATTCCTATACGAGTAAAAGCTGCCGGTATAGGAACGAAGGGGAAAAAATTATAAGGCGCTATTGCAAAGAAGTTTAATATGATGCGAGGAGACTATCATCATAGACAAAAGGCCGGGCTGGAAGAGGATAAGCACGGGAATTGGCTTTCAATGAATGGAATATGAAAAGACCGCTACATAATAGGCTTTGAGGAGAATAATCCCAACGCATTATATTCAAACCCTCGAGTACATGGAACTATAATACTTCTATACTTCAAGATTCGAACATAAATATATTCGCCGATTCCGCATATGCCGATAGGATAACGCAGCAGCACATCAGTGTTGGGTTGAAAATTAGGCCAGTCGAAAAAAAAAGTACCTATACATACATAATATATGTATACCATACATATATACGTATAAATGCGTGTACAATTGTACAAGTTGAGCAAGTATCGAGTTGTTCGATATATTTGTGAGTTTAATCATCTATACGATATATCTATATTTGTCACACACATTATCATGGCAAAATCTGCCAAAATGTATGCGAAAATTCCAAAATTCAAGCATATGAACACCCAGCGATCTATGTGTGCTATGTAGGTATAGATAAACTTAGTCCAAAAGCGCGATGTATCGTAATTGATTGTATTTACGTTTTTTTTTTAAAAAAAATGTAGAAAAAACTTTTAGTTTCTAGAAAAACGTTTTAAGTGAAGTACCGACGGGTGGAAAATCCACATCTTTTTAATGTACATGGCGTAAAAGCTTTGGAGGATTTTAAAAATCCAAAAACTCAAAAACAACGGGTCACAGACCAAAAAAAAAAATTAATAGATTTCTAAAGGCAATAAATTTCTTACTACGCACGCGAAGTCTAAAATTTAATTTTAAACGTCACCCTTGCGTTAGCTGAGTTACCCGTTGTTGTCCGCGGTTATTTATTCATTCCAATCTCATGTTATTATATTAGACTTTAGACAGGATAATCTTCTCGGTGTAACAGACGATTTCTACCATTCCCCAGCAGTCCCCCGTCCGTTACGTTAGGTAACTTTTACTTTATGCGATTTTTATCCGCCTGTAAACTAAACCGGAGTGAAGCATAAAAGAGAAAAAGTAAATATATTCTTTTAAACGTGATGGTTCTTTTATCGCTGACCGGCGATTATCTACGAATATTTTGAGTTAATTTGGTTTTGGTATTCTTTATTTTCTGGCATTATTATATACTGTAATATATAGAATAGTTTAGCTATTTGTCAAAACGATACCCTTATTATTCCGTATATTGTGTATTTTTAGAGGATTCTCCGACACAGTATGTCGTCCGTGACAAACAAATTAAATAGATGGATTTAATTTTGGTAGTATTAGCAGCTATGTCTTTTTAATTTTTTTTTTTTTTTCTAAATTCAACACTGATTTACGCACCAGAAAAAGAAATGTCAAAATTACACATCATCTCGCATCTCTGCGGAGTCCTTGGTCTATTTTTCGTACAAAATGTAACTTTAGTATTTATGTGTGTATAAAATGAATTAACACAAAAAAAAAAAAAATAATAATAATTATTGAATATCATTGAGAATTATTATTTTATCGATGATATAATGTTATCATTGTACTAATCTCCACGGTCCGCATTTTTCGATATATTATAATACCAAAACATACAAATAATTATGATAAATAATATTTAAAAAATATTATGTGTCGTAGATATTAATAGAATATGTGATTCGTCAAGAGCGTTGTCAAAAAATGACTGTCTGTCATAATTTTTGGCTGGTAGGTGTAATATTTATATATTCATAACATACTTGAATATTTCGCATATTTACATACAAAATATTATAATGATCTCGCGATTATTTATAGAACAATTATTGTTAAAAAATGCAGTCTTCTGAAAAGTTACCATTACTGGTTTTGTAAACATCGCGGGCTACCGATACGAATGGGTTATTTTAATTTTTTTGAAATTCGCTTTTTCAAACGACTTCGATCGGTTTTTTTTAGCTTTGCTCATTCTTTTATTCTAGTATTTACGTCGATGTCACCGTTATTTAGCAAGATACAGAAAGTCAAAATATGCCTTCTCAGTAAGAGTATACATTAAAAACGCTGCAGTGAACATACTTCTTTACTTAGTTATGAATTTCAGACTCAAGTACCTATTTCCTACTTATTTGTCTAACGCCCTCTTATCTGACCAAGCCGTCCACCTACTTATTTAAAAAAAACCTACGAGTTCGTGGACTCACAGAATTCCATTAAAAACCGCGATTGAAAGTGATATTGTATGTTACTAACATACCGACTAGCATTACGACTATATTTACCGTTTTTTTCTATGGATAAATGTGTAAACAACTAGTATTGTATAATATATCCTTAGAATTATTGTAAAATTCACATTGAAGTCCTATCGGGTACCCAATGTCTCTTTGTGTGCGTCCGTAATATAAATGTTTAATTCAAAACATAAAAAAAATTCCAATGCATATTATAATTTTTCATTTGAAATCATTCTCCTGAAAAACTTTAAAAACGTAAGTTACCGTGTTTATATACTCACTGACCATTGGCCATGCTAAAAGGCGGCAACTGGCCGATTATTGTTGATGATTGTCGGAGGGCACCAATAATACGATAATTGGAACGGTACTGCACTAACTAAAGGAAACATCTGAATGATGTTATGAACTATTATATACTTTTACACATTGATATATTTCGTACTCAAAATATCGTAATATCAAACATAATATAAAAAGTATTCCACAAGGTAATAGAAACGATTCTTAGCAATAAATCCGGTAACGATTAAAAAAAAAAACTTTATGAAGTAGATATATTTTTATTTTTATTTCCAATTATATTATTAGTAATATGTTATTAATATTAATAATATACTACGAAAAAACAAATGTTTGAAATTAAAGAAAAATTTATTGATGAAAACATGATATTAATACCTATATATATATATATTAATTTCGGAGGAAATGAAAAACCTTAAAACGGTTTTTAAATGTAACTTAAACAAAAATATATGAATATATGTATATATATATATTTTTTTTTTATGATGGAAGAGATGAATTATTTTCCCCTCCGTAAACAATTAGTCGGTACTCGTAGGAGAGATATCAAGTAGTTCGAGCTCACACCCGTATAAGTTATTGTTTGTATTGCTCCAATAATTGAAAACGGAGGTGAAACTATAGAAGGGGCGCTGAAGCGGCAGAATACACCCTGACACGATTACCTGGGCCGGTCAAATTGGTTTTTATTGATTATAAAATACTACGGATGACCAAATCGACACGGAAATATTATTACAAAAATCAAGAATATTGGTTTACGATATAAAAAGTTATTTCTTTTTATTAAATCAAACGGCCGAACGAAAACTACAAGGTTTCCCCCTTCGCTTATAGCGACCACGATTGATTAATTCAAAACGTGTCTGTTTTGTTTTTCTACAATATAACACATTTTTTTTCGTTTGTCCTTAAGACGATTCATAAAACCCATTCCTGGGTCGTCTTTTTCAACGATTATAGAAAAATGATGACGTATTTTTTTTTATTTTTTTTATTTTGCTCGTAATGGCAATTTAGCCTTGTAGACCCACGGATATTATAGTTAAACCAGATAATATAGTTATATTTTAAGTACCTATATATTATTTGATAAAATACTTCACAATATATAATAATACGCACAGAGAAATGAATTATATCGGTTTTTATTGTATACGATTCTAATATATAGTAAACAACAGGCGAGAAACATTATATCGCTCGTATATTATATCCGACATTCGAACGCGTACGCGACGACATTTTTACATGTTTCTTTTAATTGTGTATTATTATTAAATAGTATGTATTTTATTTATAATATTATACTATATATTATAGCGTAAAACAAATATTTGGGTCATTTTATAGTGTGTTAGTCGTTTTTTTGTACAAACAACAACCGGCCAAAGTAAACACAAGGGCAGATGTGACACGCGCATATATCAAACAATAATTTTTTTTTTTTCAGTTATAGAGAACATTTTATAATCACATACGTTGTCAATAAAAATATAACATGCGAGAGAGTATTTATTTTTTTCTGGGCAAATACAATACTTCGATGTGTGCTCACCGTTTCAATAATATTATTTACACGAGTAGGTACTATGTTATTGAAAACAAATTACGTATAACATCTACTGCATCTGAAGCACTAGTATACATTAGGCTACCGCACGTGTTTGCAATCGTTTAATAATCTATGATGTTGTAAACACAAAACCGATGGATATTGAACGATACTGAGAAATGAAAAAATCGGATATCGGCTTTTCTCCAAAAATCTAAAACTCTCCGAAACTCTAAAACTTTTTCTCCCAGACTCGATATTTTCGAATAAAAAGTATCTATGCAATACCTATGAAATATGAAAAAAAGAGTATTCAACAGATACATTTTCGCTATTAGTTTCAGTATCAACCCGCGGTTTTGGATTTCAAACGTCGGATTGGTTATCGGTCGCAAATATCGAAAAATCGAAATATCAGAAAAAGTCATATCGACTTACCATCGTTTGTGACGATAATCGCAATATAGTCTATTCGACCAAAATAAAATATACCTATGTGAGTGTTGGACAGAATACCAAAAAAAAAAAAAATATATGTATTGCAAGATACAAGGTATACATTGCATTCTACGTTATACATAAAAAACAATATACATAACGAAGGATTGTGTTCATAGCACACACTACAAAAAAAAATATATATATATTTTAAAACACGTTATCTTCCTAAACTATTTAATTTTACCCATGATAAAATAGATAAATCTTGTCGTTGCGTGTCGCATGTTCGTTTAGTATACGCGCATCTCGACACACTCGACCCACGGTGTCGTAGTTCTTTTCTGTTATCGGCGATGCTAATTTTATCCCGAAATTGGAGAATAGTACGATCATTGGATGAAGTGAAGAAAAATTATTTAATAAGTTTATTGTTTTCACAAAAAACTGTGATCATGTCAATTGGTGCGTATATATTGTTTTGGCGTTAAAACGGTTTGAAATGAAACCGTTTTAAAATTTATCAAAACGGTTTAGTGGACATTTTGTAAACCGTTTTAAATTTAATTGTTTTCTACATGACACGAATTTTGTCCCCAGAGATATAATAATATTTGTGATTGTAATCCTAAATCTTACTTTACTTTTTGGACAATATGATAATTTAATTAATTGATTATGATTATTTATTTACGTTTACTACAAAACATTTTGCTTATTTTTTTTTTCATTACGATTTCGAAACTAAAACAATACGCAATGTCATAAGCTCCTAATAATAATAATATCGATCTGCTAAATTCACGAATAAATGCAAAATGACCGTACAATATAATTTAATTATTAATTGTATTAACTAATAATGAATAATATGTAGATAGATATGTAGCAACTAGGTAATATTTAGACATTTAACGCAAAAAAAAAAAAAACTGATAAAGTGATAGGGTTTGATTAGGTTTAAACAAAAAAGCGTTTATATGTTCATGTGATAAACCGTTTTAAACGTTCAAAACGGTTTTAATATTTTTAACTACCTACCTAATGTGAGCATTTTAATTTCGGAAAAGGTTTGATACCTTTTAAACCAGTTTAAAGTGTTGACACGTTGAGAACAAATTTTAATTTCAAACCGTTTTAACGTTTAAACGTAGTGCATGTATAATTTCGACAATGTACACGAATGTGTTTATCTGAGTTAACGGCCTAACCCACCGTAATCGGTCGGTTATATCGTAAACTCCGTTTAAAAATCAACGTTGGTGAAAATGATATGGTACTTAGATGAAATATCGCGATTCGCGGTTATCGTATTTTCCGAGCTTCTTATTTTTTCTTTTCTTTTACTATTAATATTATCGCGTTCGTGTGGTGACCGCTGCAGCAACGCGTGTAATATATAATTGCAGTTCGCATCACTTATGGCCCGAGTAAAAGTAATAAAACAACATGCGATTTTAATATCGGACGTCGATTTTAAGAATATCAAAAAATTGTC